AGTCTGAAACAGATGTTCATTCTGCTGATTTAGCTATCTGATTTCTATTCCCACATTTTAAGTGCCTCTTCAGTTTTCTTTTCTTCATCGCTAGCCTGGATAAAAGATGAAAACAGCCCTAAACAGGAGCACAGCTGATGTAGTGAAGTGTGCGCTGAGGTGAGATCCACCCTTGTCTTCTGGCCTGCTGCTCCTGGCTCACCTCTGTTTCACCAGGCTGACTGAAGTATGTTCCAACCTGTGGACTTGTTTTGGTTAGGCAAAAACAAATAGCTAGCAGTAAGTACAGCTCTGTAATTCTAGCCATCATTAGGCGTTACTGTGTCAAAGTAAAACTTGGTATGATGTTAATTTTTCTTCCATTTCATGTCATTTCTTTACTGGTTGATAATACTGTTCATTCCCAAATCTGTCACCCTCTCACAGGTAGGAGGCAAGAAATCTTGACTTCTTAATCTTTCTTAGGAATATTCTACAAGCTCAGGTGAAAGCTGGCCTCCTGCTTGTATAACTTTCAAAGAGTTAGTCAGAGCCCATATGTTACAGCCAGGAGGAAATTATGCTTGGGGATGACTAACAGAACATGTTCCTGCTGTTAATTTGGGTGTCATTCCAGAAACGTAATTCATAGCCTTCTCTTTGATTTTATTAACACATTTATGTACTGATGCCAGTTTTCGCTAGCATACTTCACCAAGGAAATTAATAAAGGGCTAGATTTTATATTAACAAAGAGAAGGCTTTGGTAGCTCTGCCTGGAAAGAACAGGGAGAAGCACAGAGCACGTATGCTTGGGTGGTGGCTGGTTAGTAGAAATATGAGTAACAAATAGGAAATTTAGTTGTATGCATCATCCTGCTACAAACACCACGTTCCTCAAGTCTCCGTGAATTGATATGTAATTTACCAAGAACAATGATATGCAGTACTAATTGGGTGTTGGTTTGTTCCTCCAAAAAGAAGGGAATAGCTTTCAGTAGTCTGATGCTTAAGGCTGCCCGTGCAGCTATCGTACGGTTTGCAGCAGGAAGAATTTGAACGCTAAGAAAATTAACATTGAGAAGGTGGCTTACAATTTATAGCCTTTTTTTAATACTTATTATCTGTCTGTCTGCTACGGACTGCCTTTCATAGTAAAGGATACATTGTGTAGCTCCAAGCCAACTAATGCCTGTTTATTTATGTGAAAGGTTAAATTACGGAGGCATGAACAGCCTGGCTGCATGTGTGACTGGGCTGTGCCTGTGCACCTGCTGATGCAGTGCCTGTGCACCTGCTGATGCTGAGCCTGCCTGCACCAGCCGTGCACACTGCTGTGCCATGCTCCTCCAGGAGCACACAGTAAATAGGTAATTGCAGGAGCTCAAAATAGATGTAATAACAAAATGGGAAATTCTAAACACAGCTAAGGCAGCTGACCATGGATTGACAGTGCTGCACTTGAGAATGAGTTTTCTAACAATCCTGTGGGTGCAATCCTCTGTCTGCTCACAAGAGTGAATTTGTTCTTATATCTTAGTGCTTTCCACGCTGCTAGGTCTGCTTTTGATTATGTCACTGCAGTAAAATAACAGGCTGAACGTAAGAGTTTGTATTGTGTGTGTATGTGCAAAATTGATGCAGCTCTGTGAGAAAGCTGCTTTTATCTGGTCTCACTGTTGCTCTCGTTCTGCAGTAGACAAATCTTGGCTGAATCCTTCTAAGCTGACTGTTCCTCACATGAACTTCTATCTTTATTAAGATGGAAGAACAGGTTAAATTCAGAGATTCCTTCTTAGGGGTAATGCAGACTGAGCAGCTGGCTTGCTTTGTGCCTGGTTCTGTTTGAAGCCAGTTAGTCTGGAAGGGCCAAACCAGCTCAGTGTGATCACTTTCGAAGGTTGAAGTTTATTTTAGAAACCTTGGTGCTATGTAGTAGACTTAGAAACCTTTGGTTATTTGAAATGGGAGTACAATGCAGCTTCCTGAGCCAAGGCTGCGTCCCCATGAGGGCGAAAGAGTCGAGCAGCTGGGGTACCTTAAAAGGAGACAAAGTGTGCGGGTATCTGCCAGCTGATATCTCTCAGATCGCACTAAAAACATCTTCCAATTTTCTGTTCAAGTCTCGTGTCTCGAGGAAGATCAGAATAGAAGCAGTGCCATCAGTGTGGTGCAGCAGACTGACTTGGAGGGCAGCTCCAAGCAGAGCTTGTTGAGTGGAGGTGTGCTGTGTTACAGCGGCATTCCCAAGAGCCGCGTGTTTGGCTGCGTGGGGCTGCAAACCTTCTCCATGCAGGCAGCGTGACAATTGGTGACTCAGTGGGTGAATCTGGAAACTCTCTTCACTCCCCCAAGTTTTCATAGATTTTGAGTTTGAATTATGCATGGTGATGCCTTACATCCAGCTCTGTGGGTTTGTATCTTTGGCATGGCCTTTCCTGTTGCCATCTTAAAACTGGTTGTCCTAAAGTTGTTTCTGACTTACATACTTGTGTCCAGCACAAAATTATTCCACTTTCGGGGGGGCTGAATGACAGGGAGTAAGGGTCAGTGATTCCTTTGAAGGCTTTTGGGTTTGGACAAAATGCTGAGTGAGTCCTTCAGGTTTTGCTGCTCCAGAGTAGCAAGCGGTTGAACTGCTAAGCCCTTTCAGGAACAGCTTATGTTTTGGCAAACAGCTCATGTCAGGCTGAGCCTCATGGAATTTGCAGAGCTTGGTTCGTGCCCTTACAGCACCTCTGTGCTGGGGACACCCTTGTGCCCATGCAGCTGCTGTGCCCACAGCCTCATCCTGCCCTCCTCTGTGTTAGAAATGGGCCCAGGCTGCCTCCCGAGGAGTGTGAGCTCAGCTGGTATTTGACTGGGGAAATATAACAAACCTGTAACTATATAGAAAATATGTCTTCCAAAATCACTTTGTTGCTCAACTTGTGTTTAAGTACTTTATATTCTGTTGCCAGTCTAAATGCTCCTAGTGTGTAGAATATATAAACTATGATGGTCTGTAAAGTCTGAAGAGTGTATTTTAGGTGTCGTCCATAATGTAGCAGTGGAAAATTTCTCCCAGTCCTCAGAAATCTGGAAACAAGAGTTGAGGGGTTCAGTATCACTTCATTTAATTAGAAGGCTGTTCAAAATTTGCTAGATCTGCATTGCTTTCTTTCCCTTTCCCTGCTGGCCCTGGCTGAGCTCTTCCTGTCTCACACAAGGGCTCGTTCCTTTTCCTCCCTAACAGCGGTGTCTGATTTATCCTACAGGGCTTAAATTAAGAGGAAACTCAGCAGTAGGGGAAGGAGTGATGGATTTGAAAGCAATTCTCAGGCTCTCTTGTGCTGGCTCATTAGGCAACCTTTTTGTTATTATTTTTTAATACAGAGAATGCAGGAAGCCCGATGCAGCAGGAGCTGCAGTGTGCCAAGAGCTGCTGGACCGGGTGCTCCCCTCTGCCCTGGTGATGGGGCCAGGTCCTTGGGTTCTCCAAGGGCAATACTGCCCTGTGCCTGTGGAGCAGCAGCCTTTTGTCTTCCAAGCCCAGATAAAACATCATCATTGCCACCCAGGCTTTTCTGAGTGAGATCTCAGTGCAAAGCCAGCTTGTTTGCAGCCCTGTGAATTCTCATGGCTGCATTGAGCTCTCTGGAATCACAGCTGAGGGCAGGCTGCATCAAAAATGGCAGTGACCTTGCCGCTCTGGATCTCGGTTACAAACGAGTGGGCTGCCAATTTAATTTGCTAAGTGTGCGCTGCTGCAAACATCCCCAGTTAACTGGGAAAAAGAGAATGTCCGAGGTTACTATATGAACTAATTAATTTCAGTGATTTGTGAGCCCGCATTCCTGTAAGTAAGAACAGTTACACAATTGTGCCTTTTAGAGAACTAAAACGCTTCATTTCTAGGGCAGTTTTGGACTGCATTGCTCCCGGCACAACCTGCTGTCTGCGGGACGTGAGCCAAGTGACTGCATGGCCCCAGGTGAAACACCTCTGTAGGGGCCAGGTGTGGAGTAAGGTGCCTGCTGTCAGGTTGGGTGGTGCTAATTAGAGCAGGAAGGCTTCTGCTGGCCAGGCAGCGTCACTTGGGATATCTGCCCCTGCAGCCCTCCTGTGCTGAGCCTGCAGAATGGGCTGAGAAACATGGCAGTGGTTGGGGGGGACTTGGTTGATGTCTCTGAGTTGCATATGGCTGTTCCTGGCACCAGGAGCTCTTGAAGGAAAGCAGCTTTTCTTGGGCTTCAGTGCTGCTTAAACTTATGCTTTACGGCCTGGAGTAAATGCTCCCAGATTTCTTCAGGGAAAAAATGGAGTAATAGAACGTGGCATCGCTCACGCTTCTGAGCTAAAATTATAACTGTAGCCATGCAGCCAAAGAAAACCGTGAAGAAGAATTTTTGAGTCAATTTTTGTCAGTTTTAAAGAGAGCTCTGAAATTAAGCAGGGCTGCAAGCAAAGAGAATAGGAAAAAAATGTTTAGTTTTGTTTTGTTTTTGACGCGGTATTGTCTTAATTCATCCCTGGAGAGACAGAAGGAGCTGCACAGGCAGTGGGGTTACTCAAGGGACCTCACCTGGAAGCCCTTGCCATGTGTTCACAGGTGCAGCCATTTACTGCGTCCAGTATTCAGGGCTGTAAGGGGAGGCAGTAGCTTTGCTACTGACGATGTTGCACACCTGGAAGTGAAACTCTGTGTTTATTAATCTCTCAGACAATGATCCTCACAAAAACAAGAAGTAAATAGCCGTGTGTTGATACATCAGGACACTGGTATGTTTATGTTGCCTGAAATATTAATGCTGTCATGTAGCTTAGCACAGACAGCTCTTTGTTCTGAGGCAAGTCTTTGTCTTCTTGACACTGGGTTTAAGGCGAGTGCCCTAGTTCATACACATTGCTCATCTGTTACGTAAAAGATTTTGTAAGTGTTCTTGATACAAGCATATAACAAGAATTCTGACTGTTGTAGCAGCGTGGTGGCTTTGTTTTCTGTCCATTCTGTACTAATGGTGTTTTATTTTGGATTATAGGACAGAAAATTAACAAAAGTAGAGAGACAGAGATTTAAGGAAGAAGCAGAAATGTTGAAAGGTCTACAGCACCCAAACATTGTAAGGTTTTATGACTTCTGGGAATCCTGTGCAAAAGGAAAAAGGTGCATCGTGCTGGTTACCGAACTGATGACCTCTGGAACACTGAAGACGTAAGTACTGTGCTCCTGGCGAGCAGTCTAAGAATAGCTATGGAAATTTTTAGAAAAATCCTACTTTTGCATACTGAAAAAAGGCACCTCGAGATAAAGGATAAAAATGGAGCTGTTCTCTGGTGTCTGTCATTCGTCCCTGTGCTTAGACTGCATGGACTTGACAGGAAGAATTTCGGCCTCTGTCTCCCCTTCCCCGATCTTCTGCTTCACTTATGTAACTGGAAGCAGTTCTCTGCCTTGTTTCATTGTGTGCCTGTGACGTTTCCATTTGTCAGCATGTGTTTCTGTGATTGCTTCTGCTCTTGTGCTTGTGTGTTTTGTTATCAAAGCCAGAATAGCACTCGAATGGTAGCATCTCCTTTTGAAGCAGGAGATGCTCTAGGTTATCTACTAAACAATATTAATAGCTTTGCTACTGACAATCTTGTTAAGGTTGATATAAAGCAGTTGGCATGAATTCTGGAGCAGATTTTCAGCCCCAATGGGAGCAATGCTCATCACTGAGTATATCCAGTGTTCTGCTCTGCTAATGCATTGGCAGCTTTTATGTTTTTCCAAAATGAACCCTCCCCCTTCTCAGTGTTCTAGGCATATAGTAAAAATGTAGGTGCATGATACAGAGGCCAAAGTCTTGTGCCTAAAATTGATTTTCAGTATTATTCTGTTCTGGAGATATAAAACATATTCTAAATCAGTTCTCTGCATGGAGTGAATTGCTTTGCTATTAGACTTGCTAATATTTGGTTGTATTTGCACCAAAAATGCTTATTATCTTCCTCCCCCCAAATGAATGCTCTAATTCCTCCTTTAAAAAAGATCTCTTCCAATTTGGTGATGTTTCTAAGCTGCTATTATGATATCTAATAAGGGGCTTTTATAAAAAATAAACTTCAGCTGCTAAAGCCCCGAGAATCTTTAATAACGCTTTGCTTTCTTTATAACCAGCTTCTCTTCCTGTTTGTTCTGTAGGTATCTGAAGAGATTTAAAGTGATGAAACCAAAAGTCCTGCGTAGTTGGTGCCGGCAAATCCTGAAGGGTCTTCTTTTCTTGCACACGAGAACTCCACCAATAATTCACAGAGACTTAAAATGTGACAATATTTTTATTACTGGACCAACTGGATCTGTGAAAATAGGAGACTTAGGTCTGGCAACCCTCAAGAGAGCTTCGTTTGCCAAAAGTGTAATAGGTAATCAGTCTGTTCTCTTTGGCTTCCTTCTGCTGGTGTGATGGTTGTCTTTTTAATTTGTCTGCCCTTCACACTTCACAGTAATTTTGCTTTTTGTGTATTGGCTGGTGGTAGAGATTGAGGTGGTTTTGTGACTGTTTCCCTTCATACCATTATAAAGAAGTCCGTCTGTAAGGCCTATCTAGGAAATATTACCTTGGCCTTCTCTTTCCTTTACAATGGTAAATTCTTAATTGAAATATTATTTTGCATCCACAAATTCTTCTCTGTTCTCTTCCAAGAGAAGCAGCAACAGTTCCCAACAGCTTGTGCATCTCATCCCCCTGAGAGCAGGCTCAGTGCCTGTTTGGGAGGGAAAAGAGAAGGGATGGGGGATGGAAGCCACATGCTGCCTTGCTGTCTCACCAACAAGGTGGTGCTGAGAAATCTTATGCTTCCAGTGAGAGGGAATAAGTACAGTTGTTTCAGCTGAAGGCATTGGCAGCCTGTCCTCAGAGAGTGCCCTGCAGAAGGAGGCTTCTTGTCTTTGTGGGGAGGTCACAGGAGAGCTGCCCTGGCTGGAACAGCTTATCCCCAGTCACCGGGCATCAGCAAAATAAATTGCTTCTGCAGAGCCTGTCTATGCCCCAATGTGATCCTGGCAGAGTTCTACTGAAACAGCTGCAATTTATTAAAAATCAGTAGCTACAAAATTGAAGGAAATTCCCACTAGGGTACACAATAGCTGATTCATGTGGGTACCACGTAGAAATGTATTAGAGCTTGATTTTGCTTGAACTGGGAGGATGTGTTCTGAATGGTGTCAAGGAGGTCATTCCTTTGCAAAAGTGAAATTTAATGCCTTCTGTGTGAAAAACAGAAATGGGATATCCTTTCCCTGAGTTCTCAAACATTTTGTTTTGTTTTGTTTTTACCTTAATCTTTCTCAGCAAATTGGCCTTGTTCAGGTCTGTAGGTGATGCTTCTAGAAAGTTATAAATCCTTGAGGAAGGATGCTGAAAGTGAGGGAAGCTACTGTGCCCACGGTCATAATTTGGCTCCTTATGTAAATGGAAATAAGATTTGAGATGACTAGAATTAGCAGACTGCTGGTGACAGCCACTATTCCTAACTATGAAAATGGCATGCTATCTTTAAAGCGGTGGTTGCCGAAGTAATTATAGGGCCTCATGCATTTAGGGATTATATTTAGTATGATTTCTGTGCAAGTTTCAGCCTTCACACTTTGAGAACCCAATATTGTTTAAGTTGCTGTAAGATTGATGCTGTGGATATAGGCTTTGCTGCTGTGGGATGCCTTAATGCTGCTGATTTCAGTGAAATCATGTTAGTTTGTATCTGTTAAGTTCTTCTAGCTTTTACTTTGTAGTAGTGTATTTTTATTTCTTTGTTTTGAGGGGCAGTATTCCTTCCCATAGTTTATTTTGCAGTGTAACAGTTGCTCATGGGCTGGGAATATCAGAAATATCAATATTAGCTTTTGCAAAATGAGTTCCTGTAACAGCACTGTCAGACCATAGCTGTGTCAAACAAATTCAATGATGGAAAGGGCTGCAGGTTGCTGGCTAACTATCTGTATTCTTTTTGGCAAAATAACCAAATTCATCTTTTTCACAAGTTGTGCTGCTCCAAGGAAAGAATTAGGGGGATTGCAAATACTGGTGATGCTGGGCCAGCTCCCACCTTTACAGCAGGATAGGAAAAAAATGCAATTCCCCCCATCCCAGAGCAGGAAGCTGAGGCTTGGGAGCGCAGGCAGAGAAATGGGAAGGCTGAAGAGGAGAAGGCAGGGTGGGGAGGGAATCCCACAGGTGTCAGCCCCAGCGTCTGGCTTCCCCGTCCTGCTGCATGTCCCAGAGCTGCGTGCACCCTGCTGTCCTCACTGCTCACCTCATCTTCCTAGACGGAGCAGCTCTAAATGGATATTAGTAGCTGCAATTCTACATTATTTTTAATGATGAAGTCAGTGTGGCTGAGGTCCAGGTTTTCCCTTGCTGCATTTGTGCCACCGCTGATGCTTGCCTGACCTTGCGGTGTGTCTCTTCAGGCAGGCCAGCCAGGGCCAAGCCTGTGCTGCAGAGTGCAGCTGAGTAGCTGCTGAGCAGCTTCGCATTTCCGTGGTCTGCTTTGTTAGGAGTACTTGCATGTATTCCTTCCCGCCCCTAAGAGTTGGGTGGAAAATGTCATTTTCATGGTGATTTGGAATGGTGTCAAGAATATCATTTGCTTCTTAGACTACTTGCTATCACTTTTTCAGTTGTGCAAGGAACTTTAAATGCTCCATAATTCATGAGATCCACTTCTGTGTCTGTGTCTTGTTCATTCTCAAACAATGTAGCATCTCTGGGAAAGGCTCTGACAGCTGTTAACCATTTCAGAGCAGCAGCCACAGCCTTTGTGAAAGCTGGAAGAAAAGGCCTGGGGTCAGAGCTGAACTCAGAGCATGGCTGCTATGCTCTCACGACAGGGATCCAGCTGATTTATGAAGGCTGAAGGAAGGAATGTCCTTAAGGTGAAAGGAGCATCAACAAAAGGAGAGAGTGATGTAGAGTTCTGTGAATGTTACGGCAGTGCCAGAACTGAGGCTTGTTTAGTGAGTTAGGCCCAGCCTACTTTGTGATGCATGCAAAAGCAGTTTCAGAGACAAACCCTAATTTTGAGAGACGTAGTTTATGCTACCATTAGGAAAAAAAACAACCAACAACTTAAATCAGGTCACCAATCATATATAAATTTGAGAAGTGTTTCTCCTGATGTCTGTTGTTTAATTACAGTTGTGCTAATGGTAGAGATGTCCTTGCCAAAAAGCAGAGCTGCCAGTGCATGTCAGCTGGTGGAGGGCTCTGGGGAGGGGATGTGGGTGCTGAGGCAGATCCCGCTGTGTGAAGGCCAGGTTATGGGTCTGGGATTGCTCACCTTCCTTTTGGCAGCTTACTGCTCACTGGAACTGCTCTCTCCCACAGAAAACAACTGTGTTAATCTCCTTCCTTCATCTTTTCTGCACGTGAAAACAAAAATCGCTCTTGACTCCCAAGCTTGCACTACTTTAGGAGATAAAGTTCCTGGAATGAATTACCTAAGTGTTAATTTTGCTCTGCCAGACCACACCTTTTTGGTGCAGAGATTTTTTTTTGACAAAGGCTGAGCTGCTCTTGAGTCTGTGTGAAGCGTAGGAGTTACTCTGAGGTTGTTGATGAAACATTTTGCATTCATTCACGTTTTTCTGTATAAGAGAACTTTTGCAGGCATTGTACTTGTCATAACGCTGCAACTTCCCGTTATGAAGCAGTAAGTACAATGTTTCCCTTCATTTATCCAGTTCTATTGGTCTCCTGACACCCTAATCCCTTTTGGAGTAGGACTTTATTCTGCAAGTAGTCTCACTGGTCTGTACTATTGAAGCAGAGGTAGAATCATGTTTAATGCTTTGTGCATGACTTCCTAGATGAATTTCTGATACCACTTGCTTTCAAAGTGCTGTCTCATCAGCTCGGTGGTTGCTGCGCATCTCTCTGGAGGAAGAAATGCAAATTTGCATTGACAAAAACAAGACCGAAGCTTCTTGTTTCTTTGGTCCTTTTCACCACCCAGACCTCTGTGCGTGTCCCTCTCTTCATCCAGAGGAGGAAACCATTTTGTAGCTTTCAGTGTATTCAGGCACCATGCCATATCTCATTTTGGTATTCTCTTTTGAAACTTCAGTATGTTTTCCCCCTCTGTGTATACTATCAGTGAGATCTATGTGTGTGTGTACACTTTTGGTTTCTTCCCTGGAGGATGCTTGAGCTTATTCTAGTTACTTCCCTGTTTTGAAATGATCTCGCATGCTCCCTTGCACATTTGCAATGGACACGTTTCTGCAGGCAGAACAAGACTGTGATGGAAACCTTTCAGACTTCATGAATAATTTACCATCTTTTTTGTGTAGGTACACCAGAATTTATGGCCCCAGAAATGTATGAGGAACACTACGATGAATCCGTTGATGTCTATGCGTTTGGAATGTGCATGTTGGAAATGGCTACCTCAGAATACCCCTACTCAGAATGCCAGAATGCTGCTCAAATTTACCGGAAAGTAACCTGTGTAAGTAAACTTCCTTAATTTCAGTTACGTCTGTAATTTGGAATTTGCTGATCAGAAAGTTTAAAAGCGTAGTTCAGTGTGAGATGTCATTGCTGTCCTATGTGTGCAGTTTGTTGTAGAAATGGAGGTGTCTTAGTTCTGAGTTGCAGAAACTGCTGCAGGCTTTTTCAAAGAGCTTGCAGTTGTGTGTTGAATTATGTTTGCCTGCGCTGCAGTTGCATGTGGTATTTTCAGTAATCTTTGCCCATTTTGTCTCACCCAGCCAAAGGTGTGCAAGACTTGGGGAAAACGAGCAGGGAAGAACCTCTGCTGTTGTCTTGTTTCCTGAAGAGGGGTTGTCAGAATTGATCAAGTTTCCCACCAAGCCAACAAAGCCCTAACTTTTAGATCGGAGACTAAATATTTATGTGGCGTAGGATGTTTGATTCAGATTTCCAGCGCAGATTCTTGCACCTTGTATGTGTAATAAATTATCTGAAAATATAAAGGGGAAAATATGGCAATGTTTAGTTTGGGAACGAGCCAGAGGAGCTTTATGTCTGAGCTTATCTGTTCTGCAAGCTCTGTTAATTCCCAGACTGGAACCATGGAAATGGGTTTGCTGCATTTGCAGGTGAAATCGGGGCATAGAAGAAGCCAATCTAAAATGATTTCTATCCTGAAAAAAAAAGTATCCTTCCCAGCACCCTCACCTCCATGTGACAAATATATTTGTCTGCATGAGCTGCACTGTGAGTGCTTGAAAAATCTGAGTTTGGAAGATGCTGTCAGCTTGCAAATCAGTGGAGGAATCACTGACTGCAGAGAAAAGGGACTTGCCAAATGCTTTGGCAGTGGTGGTTATCTTCTGCTCTGCTTGGATAAGTAAAAACAAGAATATGGGAGTTTCTGCCCCATAGGTTACGCTAAACAGTCTGGTTTGTCAAAGGCTTTTCCAGGTACTTCTTTCCTTCCAGTTTCTACAAAAGGACGCAATGAGCCATGTGCCTTGGCCCTTGTGCATTCCCATCACCAAAAGATGCAGACTGCACACTCAGGATGTGAAGAACAGTTCTCTGAAGTAGGCCTAGGCTACAATTTGCAAAAATAGCTACATTACAAGTATGGTAGATGTAGTGAGTGAATCCATCTCAGCCAGAAGCACGGTCCTAAATTAGTGTTTCTCTTTTTCCACTGCTTGCAGAGAGCAAAAATCTTCACAAATGAAAAATAAAAACTGGTCAATTTTGAAATGCATTTGATTCCACTTGCCTTCTCCATTTAGTTTAGTGGATCATGCTGGTACAGATAAAGTCTGATAAAGTACTGTGGTTGGCTAAAATTGCCTGAGCTCAAGATTGCAGTTTCTGACTTAGTGAATGATAGTCTCTTGCACAGGTTTTTAGAGATGCTTTCATCAATACCCATACATTTGCATGTGCCAGATGATGTGCATTTTAATGTTCTTAGGTATATTTTGTGCTAATATCACTGAGAACCAGTCTGCCAAGTGGTCACAGAATTGTAAGGATTGGATGGACCTCTGGAGATCATGTAGTCCAACCCCTCTGCTAAAGCAGATTCCCTACAGCAGGCTGTACAGGAAAGCTTCCGGATGGGTTTTTAATATCTCTGGAGAAGGAGCCTGCACAGCCTCTCCATGTAGCCTGTTCCAGTGCTTCATTACTCTTGAAGAAAAGAAGTTTTTCCTCATGTTCAGATGGGACTTCCTGTGTTCCAGTTTGTGCCCATTGTTCCTTGTCCTATTGCTGGGCACCACCAAAGTGAGCCTGATCCAGTGCACTTGGCTCCTGCCTTGTAGATACTTACAAGCACTGTGATAAGATCCCTCTCAGCCTTCTCTTCTGCAGGCTGAACAGCCCCAGATTTCTCAGCCTTTCCTCATATGGGAGATGCCCTCCACTGGACACTCTCAGCAGTTCCCTGTCTTTCTTGAACCGAGCAGCCCAGAGCTGGACCCAGTACTCCAGATGGGGCCTCACCAGGGCAGAGTAGATGGGGAGGATCACCTTCCTCGACCTGCTGGCCACGGTCTTTTTAGTGCACCCCAAGATACCATTGGCCTTCTTGGATACAAGGGCAGATTGCTGGTTTGTGGTCAATCTATTGTCATTTGGAACGTTAGGTCTTTCTCTGCAGCACTCCTGTCCAGTAGGTCAGCCCCTAATCTGTACAATGCATGTGGTTGTTCCTCCCCAGGTGCAGGACTCTGCACTTGCCTTTGATGAACCTCACAAGTTTCCTCTACTCAGCTCTCAGCCTATCCAGGTCTTGCTGAGTGGCAGCACAGCCTTCTGGTGTGTCAGCCACTCCTCTCAGCTTTGTGTTGCCAGCAAACTTCCCGAGGGTGCGTTGTGTCCCTTCATCCAGGTCACTGATGAAGATGTTAATCAAGACCGAATCTGGTGCTCTTGTGGATTGCTGTGCTAACCAGCTGTGATATTACTAACCCTGATGGGAGAGGGAGGATGCAAATGATTCAGGAGTCTGTTTAAAAGTTTAAGTCACTATCACAAGAAACAGGAGGGTGTCCCTGCTGGAAATGAAAGAGATGTCACGATGTGCTGAAAGCAGAAAGATGCATCTGAAGAGTGAAACAGCTTTATCTCATTTCTATGTAAATTGTTGCAAGCTGACATTTGTATCTTGGCAAAGCTGAATCTTTCCCAATGGACTGCGGCCCTGATTTTGGCTACTTTAATCCTTCTTAGAGTGCTGATTTCAACCCACTGCTACTCAGAGAGGGAAGTGAAAAAGACATCAGAAGCTATTCTGCAGTGCAGTTAACTTCATTGCTAGCTCCTGCACTAATAGCTGGGCCAACCCTGTAGGGAAGGGAATGAGGAAAAGATGGGTCATCAGGTTTGCTGACTGCAAGCCCCGCTGCTCTGCAGTATGAGCTGGCTGGAAATGAGTGCTACATATTTTCAAAGAAGTGGGATACAGCTGATGTTTGGTGCAGTTGCTTGCCTGAATCCTTATGAGGATAGCTGCTTGCATTGTATTTCTGTTCTGCTCACTCCTCCCCTATAAGGAAAAGTTTGTTTTGTTGGCACCATGGCTTGTTGGCTTAATTTAGGTATGTGGTCCTTTAGTATCTGCTCTAAATGCCATCTTTGTGTGTATTTCAGGAATGATCTCCCTATGCTTCACGTGATGACAGTAGAACAGTATTCTGGCTTTAGGTCATGGGGGCCTCATCTCCTGAATGTAGCAGTGGGTGCACTTTTGGACTGATCAATCTAGTGATGGTTTTTCTGAGGAGAGTTTGTGTGAGCAGCATGCCAAATTTGTTAGCGGTTGGCTCATGGTAAGCTCACCTGTGCATGGACATAAAGGATTAGAGCCACAAACAATATAGGTGTCTTCTGATGCTCCACATTCTTAGAAAAGCTTTGTGTACAACTCTTAGCCATCTGGAATATTGCTGATTAAGGCTTCATAAGCCTCATTTATCAAAACAATATCCAAGATGGTAAAGAGTAAGTATTAATCAGAGGATTCCTAACTAGATACTATATTTCAATTTGCAGACCTAAGTAGTCATTTTTAAACTCTGAGGAAAGTCTGAGCCAACTCATTCTCTGTGGCAATAGCCTTTACACAGCAGAGCTATATGTAAGTTATAACTTTGTAAGAGTGGTCTTATTCTTGCAACTTAAGAGAGAGAGAAAATGTTTGTTGTGGATATGTTTTAAAAGGTCACTTTGCTCGTAAGAGAGGTGTTTTAGATCTGACTAATAGGACAAAGCAGCATGCATTGGATGCAGACACTGGTACTGCTCTTTTCTGCTGAGCTCAAGACAAGAGCAACTGGAGCAGAGGCCTCAGGATTCCTTTGGTGGACAAAATGACATTGCTGCCATTACAAGGAAAGAGTTAACCTCTCCCTGTGGAGAGGAAAATGCCCTGTCACATGCCATGAGCTGCATGGACTGTCAGATATGGAGGAGGAGCAGGGGGAGGACCTCTGAGGCAAGGGTGCGAGAGGAGCAGCAGAGCCCCACAGAAGGTCCTTGGTCCCAGAGGGAGCAGCTCCTGGGGGCTCAGCAGCTTCTGCCAGAAGCTGTGCCTGCAGAAGAGCTGGCGGCAGACGGGGACCCCGCTTGGAGCCATGTGAGTCAGCCACAGCTCGCTGCTGGGCCTGGGGGACACTGCCTCTGTGCTCAGATGCAGAAACCTGGGTGTGGGGAGCATGCTGTGCCTGTGGCCTGAGCTGTCACACAGCGTTGGCTCTGCCCACTCTGCTGGGCTGGGGACCACCTGAAGGGAGAATTGTGCAAGCACTTCTCATGGGGTAGCCATTGTCGTGCTGTACCCATTACTGGCATTGATATAGAAGGAGAGCATAGATGAAAATTGAGAGGCTGAATTACACAGTTTTATTCCCAGGACTACCCAAAGTTTGAGCTTCTCACTAAGGCAGAAGGGGTTGCTGAGATTCTCACATGGGCAGGATCAGCAGTGGAGTGCTTCAGAATGCTGCGTGTATTACAACCCCTCAGTGGGAGATGTACTTTGTTTTTGATTGAATTTCTTTGCACCAGGAATGTAAACATTATTCTTTCTGTTAAACAGAGACTGAACAGTAAACATTTTTTATGTTTGTTTCTTGATACTTTTCTTTCTAGAATATAAAATACAATAACTCTGTTTCTGCCTTGGGTTGAGTGTCACAGTGGTGTCATCCGACATCCAGCAAGAAAACTCTCTAACATACTGATCCCTATTGCTAAACCAGCCTATCTCAATGGCAACCACCGGTGGTGCTGATGGCATTGCTTGCTGATACTAGAATCATGCAGGTGATTGCTTGCAACAAAAGTGCAGTAACTCCTTTGTTCTTCTGCCTGTTCCAACCTGACTTGGATTGCACTGGGACACACATTCCCTCCGCATCCCACACTCAGTGCATTAGCTCGGATTTGCAACCACTTGCACTCCGCATCCTAACACTGCATCAAATTTGTGTACGCTAATAGGTTGCAAGGGACATCTGAAGTCATAGCTTTTATAAAGTCACATGCGTTGGTAACCCATATTGATACAGGGAACAGATACCTTTTGTAAACATTATTATTGTAAGATATTAAACATTACAAGTATTTATATTGAAAGATCATTATACTTATTATTTTGCTCACCTTTCATGCTCCCTGCCTGTAGATTCATAGTTCAATCGCTGCTTTAATTTTCCACTCTTATTTGTATATGTGCAACTGAAAGTATATAAGAGTCCAGGGTGATGCGACAATCGCTTCCAAGCTGATTCCCAAGCGTACAGAGGGGCTTGTTGCTGTGCTCGAGCAGGCGTGGTTGTTACAGCCATTCCCTCCACCCATACAGCCAGAGATCTGCTGTGTAAATGAACATGCTTAAATGATCTCCTTCTTCTGGTCCTCTCCTGATGATTTCTTACTTTTTTGTCACATCCTATATAACAGACAGTGGAACTAAAACTTGTTTGAGTCTGCGATGAGAAATGGGAATTGCAGTTAAAGATCTTGTACTCGTTAGGTCTTACTGCAGCATTGCATCCAACAAAGTAAATGAGGCAAGAGATAATAAATGCAAAACTTTTGTTGGCTGATTTCAGTTACGTGTGGTAGGAGGATATATGTAACGTGTTTTTCAAGCAACAGGTCAAGGCCACGTTTACTACAGTTAATTTTGAAGAGATTTCCTGGTCAGCATATTTGCAGTGACCTTCATTCTGATGCCATAATCTCATTTTTCATGCATAACTTGATGGTTTTTCTTAGTCAGATTATTTTTTTTGCGTGTTTAATCATTCTGCCAAGAGATTTATATGTAGACAATGGGCATATTTAGTGATGAAACATCAGAGCCTGTGACCTTCCCATGAGGCTCCAGACCAATGTTTTTTTACTGATGCCCTGCAGAATTCACTGTGGGCCAATTGTGTTTGCTAGGGGTTCGTGGCTACCTTGTTGGGTTTAGCTACATAAACTCACCCTTGAAAACAACCCAAATGCCTATAGTGTTCTGTCTAGCTCATTAAATGTTCATATTGTTTCCTTTTTAAATATATCAAATGTTTTCTCTGTATTTGTAGGTTACGTATTGCTTATACACATGAGGTAAATTCCTGTCAGACAGTGTTATGAACATCACTGAATTGTGTATTCCAGATACTTTCTTAGATCTGCAATTAATCTGCTTAGATTATCCTTAGACTTGGACTTGGTATGTTTTATTTCTTTTTTTGTATTTAAACAACTTGCATGAAATTCTCCATATCCATCTTATGTCAGTTAATTAGCCCTCCATTTCAGAAGTACGGATGTTGAGTTTACTCGAGTTTGAGACAGTTGTGCAGTTTTTCTTAGCTAGTATATTTTGAATTTTGGTGCCATGTTTCCTTGGGAATGCTCAAGGGAGACAGATGGCTTTTGAATAAATGAATGAGATGGATCCTTTGATTTCAACTAGAAACCTGTGTTTCACACCAACCCCCTCCGTTGTTGGGAGGCTTGTAAGCATTAGGGCACAGTGCTGCAGGGAGGATTTTCAGCATTACAATGAGATGGCCTTGGAGATTTTAATGAAGAGTAAGGAGCTAAAGCATCCTGTAACATATGGGCATTGCCTTGGAAAAGCAGTTTTGTGCAGTACTTTACTGTGTATCTTATGTCCTCGTTTGTTTTAATCATTTATTTGTAGCTTAGGTGCTCGGCAGATTCAAAAGAAGTGGAAAGTTTAATGGTATTTGTAGGAAGGAAAGGGATTTGTAAGGTAAAAAAATCAGGGTCAGTCATCACAGGTCTGTCAAAAGAACGTTTTGAGACAAACCTAATTCCTAGCTGCCCAACACATCCTGCCCTGCTCCATCCTAGCTGTGTCGGAGTTCATCAGACCACTTAAATGGAGGGATGTTTGTGGATTCTGGAAAATTAAGCCAAGAGGTATACAGTGACCTGCCTTATACTGTTCCTGCCTCTCATAAGCTCAAGTTGTGCCAAAACACCCATGAGGAACACTTCCATTTTAAAAAGCAATTGGCAGGCTCCTGTGAGCACACATCTAGGAGCAGTGTGTTTCTCCAGAGGGTTGAAAGCTCCTCAGGTGCTGTGGTGGACGCTGTCTCTGCCTCTTAGTTATAATGCTTTCTTTTTTTTCTTTTCCTGCAGTTAAATTGATACCTTTGTACATTTGGGGGATGTCTTTCAGTAAACATGAAGCTCTAGTAGTTATAATGTTTATTATCCATTCTTCCTGATAAGTGTCAGTAACATCACAAATAGATGGTTTCCTGTAGCAAACTGGCTGTCTTCTATCAGTCAGTCTTCTCAGGATAGTTTCTTATGGCACCACCTCTGTGCCTCGGCAGAAGCAGGAAGCAGAGCCTGCAGCTGTTCTGTGAGGTTTTCAAAATTCATGAATTACGTATTTTACTCTTCTGAACTTTAAGGTGTAAAGGTAAAGATTGACCTGAAGTTAAGATGAATTGATTTTAAACTCAAATCTAAGGCTGAAGTGGCAACAGAATGCCAATGAAGAGGTAAAAGTAAAATCTGATGTTCGAATATTCAGAAATACACAGGGAAATACCAGCCCTCGCCAAAATTCATCCCTGACATTTCTTCAAGACCAAATTCAGTAAGGGCTGATCCTTTTAAATAAAGACAGGGATAGGTGAGCCCTTCTCAGGGCTTCAGGCTTCTTTGCCTGCTGCTGTACAATCACAGTTACTGTCCTTTCAGGGTGAAACTTTAAAAGGGTTTGAATGGAGTTCAATGTCTAAATCCCATTCAGTCATGTGCCTAATTGGATTTTGTCTTTATTAAGATAAAGGAAATCATGTTTCCTTGTTGTTTTTTTTTCCCTGCTTATTGACTTCACTGCAAGTAATAGTCCTTAAGTAATAGAGTCTAACTGCAAAACCTAGTTCAAAATTCATGTCTGAACTATTGTCCATACATACCTTGTTTTAGTAGATGTATATGAGATTTTCAAATATGAGTTTTTGTTTCCAATTTAAGCTGAACATCAGAAATAAAAAGGATAACTTTTAGTGTTAGCACTGTTACTCTCTGTAACTGAATGTGGAGATGAAAAGTATTCACAGTAAATGACTACTTCTGCTGAAGGGAATGGAGGTGAGTTGCATGTTACCAAAGGTCTGGTAGTTCCTCCTGCCTGGGCAGGGGCACAGAGGGGTGGCTGCTGTTTTCTGAAGTGAGCCTCCCTTCTTCCCAATCCACAACCTCACATCAGGAAAACATCAGCCTGAGCTTTGAAAACACGCAGCTAGACGTGTCCATTAACTTCCCAGGTCTCCTTGCTAATTATTTTTACAGTACATTTTGATTGTACGTGCAGAGATGACGTGATATATAAGCTGCTATTTAGTTTGAGTACTTGCACACTGCTTCTCCTGCAGTCTCTCTTTATGTTGGTAAGATGTGTGTTTTTGTAATTCAGAGGCTCAATACCCTGAGGAGGATCTTGCTGAGTGAAGGTATTTGTCCTGAAATATTAGAGAGTAGGGAAAAGTGACCTTGGACTACCCTACAAGTATATGTGTTTCTTCTAATCCTCTCTGTCTTCTTAAAACAGCCCCACCTAACCTGAAAGAAATACAAATTATTCCTCTTACATCTACATAGAGCCAAATCTCCCTACATGGGGAATGTAGTTCTGCTTCTGTAAGCTTTCTTGTGTGACAAAACAGTTGGCTTTTTTCCTTGAAACGACACGCTCATAGGCTAACAGTTTCAAATCTAGAAGTGAGCCATATTCCCAGGAAAAAAGAAATTAGCTTGTGATGGAAATGCGACTTAGTTTCTTCATAGGTTATGCTTGTCCTTCCATTTGTTTCCAGTAAGATTCAGACAACATACTTAGGAAATGCAAGAGCAACATAGGACTGTTTGGCATGCTCTCCCTCTAACCTGCTTTGTTTCAGATTGTTTTGAGGGGGGGAAAGGAGCGATTGAGAGTACTGGGGGATGTAGAAAAACAAGAGGTTTATGGGAAACAGAAATCTGGATTTCCACATAGGTCTTTGAAGGTATTTTCAACTCATTCTTGAAACTGCTTATTTGAAGAAAAACACAATTACTCTTCTTTAATTTTTTAGTTGTTTGAGTATTAAGTCTGTTTCTTGAGTAATGACCTCAGAGTCCACAGGATGCAAAAGTAAGGTCTGCAGTTGTTTGTAAAGAAAAAGGACGTGTGTGTGATGTAAGACTGAGTAACGTACAAGCCAATGTGTTAAAAATGCAGTGATACTAAATTAAAACTATCTTCTTCAAAGTAGCTGAGTTGACTACATAGTATATAAAAGCATCCTTACTTAAGAGATAGAACGTATATATATATTTTTTCAAACTGAACTGTTTTCCTCTGTTGTTTTAGGGTATAAAGCCAGCAAGCTTTGAGAAAGTTACAGATCCTGAAATTAAGGAGATAATTGGGGAGTGCATTTGCAAAAATAAGGAAGAAAGGTTTGTATCACGTAGTCAAGTCTTGTTTAATTAATGTATGTGCAGAGACTTTGGAACTGTGTGGGTTCCTAATCTAGATTCTGGGTCTCCTCTGAGCGGAATGGAAATACAAATGGTTATGTTCCTGCTGTATAATGTGAAGATAATAGAATAAATTCAATTGCTGTGTTTCTCTCAAGTTGAAAGAATTATGTAAAAAAGCAAAGTTGTGGACTTGTTTTCAGCTTTGATTTTAGAAACTACTCTTCTATGCTGGTCTCTCCTGGTCTGCTTGTGTGTATCTTGACTTTCAGAAATGTAGTTCCTGGGAACCTCAGGTGACTGTCTAGAGGGAACCTTGTTTTAGAACTCATTAAGCTCAGATACTCAAGGAACATGAAGGGAGGGTGTAATCTCCATTTCTGAGTATGTTTAAGATGTATGAATATTGTAGAAGCTTTGTTAAATAGGAAACACAGCAATCCTCAGCAACTCTAGAAATATTGCCTCTTTCTGCTAAGAATACAAGTTAGTTATGGATAAGCACGAAGAAAACTGCAAATTTTTGCCTCTAATGGCAATTTATTGTCACAAGTTTCTCAGAATGTCCTTAAGACTTGCAGTGTTTGACTGTTCTTTATATCCATTGCAGATATGAAATTAAAGACTTATTAAGCCATGCCTTTTTTGCTGAAGATACTGGGGTAAGGGTGGAACTTGCAGAAGAAGACCATGGTAGGAAATCCTCTATTGCCTTAAGACTCTGGGTAGAAGATCCTAAGAAACTGAAAGGAAAACCCAAAGATAATGGAGCCATTGAGTTTACTTTTGATCTGGAGAAGGAAACTCCTGATGATGTTGCACAAGAAATGGTAAAATAAACTTCTCCTGGCAAATATATGTATAATTAGTGCATAAATCTCAAAGGACAGCAGGAGCAAGTCTGGTAAAGTAACTTCAGTTTAAACTGTTCTAGATTAAGCAGTTTGCATTGATCTTGAGATTGAATGCCAGAACAAAAAGGGTGAACTAGGAAAACTGAAAAACTGAAAAAGGATGTGGAATCAGATACATGAAGTGCTGTTTCAAAACAGCAAGTCACTCAAGGATCAAAGAAGTCTCTTCTACTCTATATTTTGAAAATTAATTTGCTAGTTTATCTTAGCTGTTGATCTCTTTACATTTGTCTGAAATCTCTTGAAATATATCTAATGCAGTTTAGGTTTTTTAATGTCATGAATGCAAAGAGCAAGTAAGCTCTTAGGCAAGGGTCTGCATTTTCTTGTGCTTGCACGTGTGTTCCTATTATTATATCCTAAATCCCAAAGGATCCTGTTTATTGATGTTGTCATCAACACTCCTTCTGCTTAGGAAGCAGTCACTTTGCTAACGTCACCTTACCATACTTGGAGTCATCATCTCATGTATCCCAAAAATAATGAGAAAATCAAGCTCCTCTGTCATCCTGTTACTTGTTTGCAGTAGGTCCAATATATTGTCCAATATATTGTTACAGAACTTCATTTAAAAGTTGCTTTACTATAGTTACTTACTGTTGTATTTTACATCTGTATGGAAGTATTTGGAGTTCTGGACTTCTGTAGATTACCCTGCTTGTGATATTTTGTTTTTCATGGGAAATAATTCTTATAGTATAAGTATGCTTCCAAGATATCTAACTACTGTGATACCCAAATTAATTAATTGCTTTCAAACTTGAATCTGTTAGAGGGACAAGCAATCATAGATATTTTTTTCTAATCCAAATGAAGTGCAAAACACCAAATTTATGTATTTTCATCAGTTCGTGTTGCTTTGTGTGCTATGGTAGTGAAAAATGCAGGAGATCTCTTGAGTGCAGGGAATTATTTATCTTTATTGATAGGTTTTTAGTAGTCAGATATTCCAGCTTGTCCAAATGGTATAGGCAAAAAACTTGAAACATGCTGCTGGGTTTGGAACCTAACATGTTTCACAGTCAGTTGTGTGATGAAATAGTATGTCTTAATTAAATGGTGATCATTCTCTAAGTAGAGATGTCAGAATAGGAGTAGTGTAGAAACTTGCTGATATGCCAGGTTTTTAGTTCCTTTCTGTTAAGCTTTGCCAAGAAAAATCCACTGTTTCCCTTAGTTAATGCCATGCAAGGCTCTCTGGACCTGTTTGGTCCTTTGATACAGTAACTCACACCCATTAGTTTGCAGATCCTCTGTTCAGGAACATCAGTAAAGTCTGAGCACATTGACAGTGGAAAATACCACAACCATTTGTAAAAGTGTATTTTAAGCTCCTTTGTACCTATTTGATTTTACACGTAAAAAAGATATAAGCTGTAAAACTGTAGCCTTTGGGCAAGAGCAAAATGAGAACTTCTAGACTCCCTTCACGTAGATAAATTTGTCGAATATGCATCTTTCAGGAGATGCAGATTTTAACGTGCAATTCTCTGGTAGCTCATTATTAGGCTAACAAAGAGTAGGAGTCTGACTAGGAAGTTCATGCAAAGAGCATACAAACAAATTTTCCATGTTATCTTCTGAGGAGTTGAATTCTGAGAAATGTTGCTCCCCTTTTCAGTCAAATGTGAGCAGTCTGAGTTTAGCCAAAATCTTTTATGAAAGTAAGTCAATACTGACTTTGTGTTAGAAGTTAATTTGAGTCTAAATTCTGTTAACATATTGACTTGCAGTGTTATCAAGCACACCAATTTGGGAAACTCTGTATGCTGGAAAGGTTAAGGCAATAAATTCTGATTAGAGGTAATGAGGTTTACTCCAATTGCGTTGTCAAAATACCATTTTTCAAAGATGCTTTTTTCTTTTGACTATTTTGTTAGTTGTAACAAAACCAAACAAACCAACTTCAGTTAAGCTTATTCTCTTCTCATCATCGGAGATTAACTGGCTAATAAATCGATCAGATAGGTAGTCAAGTCTTATAAAAATTATTTGTTCTTAAAAGCACTAGGGAAAGAAGTTTTAATTCCCCCAAAAAGCAAAAACCTCCCTCGCAATAAATGAATAAATAACAACCCATCAAGCTCTTGAATTCCTGTTCTTGTGAGCAATGAGTATGTTGGGTTTTTCTTCAAAGTAATGCTTTCTATAAGGAAGTGATTCAAGTAAAACCCGTGTGCGTTTCTGCTTGTGCACCGCTGTGCAAACATGGCCTTGCTAAGTTTGTGCCTCTTCTGTAGATTGACTCTGGATTTTTTCATGAAAACGATCTCAAGATAGTTGCCAAGTCAATACGTGACAGAGTAGCATTGATACTGTGGAGAAGAGAGAGAATTTGGCCTAGAATACAGTCAGAGGAACGCCGAGATTCTGAGTGCTTGGAGAAGTCGAAGGCGCCGCCTCCACAACAGGTTCAAGTCACATACCTTTCCCACACGGGCCATCACATCCTGTCCGAGTCGGAGGAACCCGAGGCAGACCAGCATCCCTTCCAGCAAAACCTGCCCACCAGCATCACATCCGTTGCATGTAAGTCTCAGGTTTGCTTTGTGTACGCATGATAATGAATGTCCCAATATGAAAATTAACAAGTATGTGAGCTCAGCAGCTGGACGCCATGCAGGTTTTGCGTGTTAGCTCAGAGGCAACAAGGGAATCCGGCAAGTGCAGAAGGCTCGAAAGAAATGGTTTCAAGAAAAAGTACTGTTTAAAGATAACTCCTTCAGTAGCAATAAATGCAGAAAAGACAAATATGTTTTCAAATTGAACAGGTGGTGGGATTGCTACTGAGTTTGTGTGAAACAATTGCAGAACTTGAACTGGCACCAAGGTGGTTGCAGTGGCTGGTGGTGTTCATTGTTTGCCTTTTCAAGTGGTGTTTGCAATGTGGGGGTGTTTATCCAAACCCAGGTCTTCCTGTTTGCATGTTACTCTTGATGGCTTATATGGTGGTTTTGTGAGTCTGTGCAGTGACCCAGAGCAGAGAAAAAAGGCTCTCTGAATGTTACGTGGTGTAACTCAGGATTTCCCTTTTCTATGGGAAAAAACTTGGACTAGTTTGACAATATCAGACCTTGTGGGCTGACAACATTTATTGGGTTCTTAAGTCATCATGCAGGTGCTTTCTGTCCATCCAGGCTCACTGTTTTATCCTGAGCTTGTGGACCTGAAATGAGGCAGTAGCTTGGTCTATGTTGTGGGGGGTCAGCGTAGGTAGTTGCTTGCGTTCCTCCTGGCACTGATGGCCACAAGCCAACGATTTACCTTCTCTATGTTCAGAGGGTGGTTGGTTTGAAAATAATCACTGGGCTATTTCAAGACAGGTGGGTTTATGCCTCCTGTTATAAATCCAAGCACTGGTTTTGTTCTGTCTTGGAGTAAGGAACTACTTGGCCTTGCAGAGCTTGTGTTTCTTCATTTCACTCCTGAGCATCAGACTTGTCTCCAGCAAACAGCAAGGCACGAGGAAGCAGTGTTTATAATTGCCTAAAATAACTCAGCCTTGTCTGTCCCCTAAAATCAGTCTTTGTTAGCAAGTCAGGTTCTGCCTGCTACTGAAATCTTTATTTATACCTTTAAACATCTTGAAGGAAATATTGCCAGATAATTTTAGATTAGAATATTTGAATTTTTGTGAGAGTTTTTTTTAGCCACTTTTTCTGGTTAAAATCTGATGTACATATTTTGCTACTAAACTATTATTATGATGGTTTTGTTTTACTGTTCTAGACTTCTATGTAAGCATATTTAAAGTCAAGGTACTTTAGCAAAGAGACAGCTGCTGCTTTAATGCAGGCATTGTATAAATTGCCATACAGAGGCCTGCTTTGAATACTAGAACAACCAAGCACGCCTCTACAAGAAAACAAATCTTTACCAGATGTGAGAAATGCAGTATTTGCATAATTCTCAAGAATATTGGAGTATTACAAAGCTTATTCTCAAGTCATATTGATCTTATTTCATTTATTTTAGATAATGTACTTACTTTATACTAATCCTTTGAGGAGCACGATGATTATTATTCCTTATTTCTGATGGTGCAATGACATCGTGCTTCCCACAGTTCTGTTGGTGGTTAACTAGCAATATTTTTTAGTAAATATAAATTTCTTTCTTTATTTACTTACTACTCCTCAGCTTTTAACATTTGGTATTATCAAATGTCTTCAACAGTTTCTTAGTGCCTACGAGCTCTCTAAATTACTTTTCTACCAATTCAAATAACAATGTGAGATCAGATGTAAAAATGTAAGTTAATAATGTGAACTGTAATGCATGTTGTTTCATAAAACCTAAGAGATTCACGGCTTTTATAATAATTAATCCTATGCTGCCATAGTCTTCTCGTTTCCTTGGTGTCCTGAATAATTGTTTGTAATAAAGTGAAAGTGTATATGCTGCAGAAATCCCTACCCCTTACAGTGGAAAGATGATTTAAACACATCTGTAACTTAAGCCTTCTTTGTTAACTATACAACTGTTCTCTCTTTGAGTTTCAAATTTCTATTATAAGCTCTTTGCCTTTTGGGTGCTTGCAGCTACCTTCTCAATTGTCTTTTGTTATTCTTCTCATGAAAAATTTGGTAGCTTATACTGAGGAAGTACTGAGCACCTGCACTTCACAGGCTTCAAACACTGTAAAAAGATATTTTTAAACCAGTAATGCTCAGTGGTACAGTTAGAAGATTTGTTTTTCTGCAGTAGAAGATGCCATGCTTGCCCAGTGTCAGGTTGTGCGATTCTGCTGGTTCGTTGGGCTAACAGTGGGCATGAGAAACACTGGTGGAGCTCTGCATCGTCCTTTTAAATGATCACAAACCTGAACTGAGGTAGCTGTTTCATTTCATTCTCTGATTTTGTTTTTATGCGCAGGTGGCTAAAAGCTTTTCACTTACAGATTACAAAATCAGGATGCATTTTGGTTATAATTCCTCTAGCATCTGTTCTTGTAGTGCCGCATAGCCTGCTTACAGTGAGAGCTGCCCTACTGCTGCTGCTGCCTAATGCAGAGCATCATGTTATAGGCTTGCTTAAATAATGCTGCTTTACCTTCTGTCACATACATCAGTCAAAAAATCCATAGTACATTTTCCTGTGACTTCTTCACGGTGTGTTTTTCCCCTAATCCAATGGAATTATTTTACCTATTCTTCATCTCAAGGTATTGTTGTATACTCAAGTTGGTGGTTATTTGAGGAGCTAATGCAAAGCATATAAAAGGTTGTGTATTTTTCTACGCCACCGATCAAAAAGGTGCTAAAATCAGTGCCTCTCTAGAAGAACTGACTCCAGGATGCCACGATCTGCTGTGAACATTACAATGGGAGTTTTCTATCCTTTTATCCTAGAAAATCCATGAAGGTCTGCAATTCTTGCTATCAACCATACGCGCGCCCTTTAAAGGAAATATCAGTGTGCTTAAAATATCATTGTGCACAGAAATCCATGAGGATTACTCTTGGGGTTTGGCTTAGAAGGAGCAGTACGTGCCCTTTGTAGAAAATAACAATTGTTTTGTATAACGTATTTTTAGAATGGCAAGGTCTAAGGTAGTAAAATTCAAATTACATAAACGAATGCTGACCTTGCTCCGAAATCATTACTTGAACACTGTAAGTTGCTGAGCTCAAAATAAGTGAATAAATAAATAAATAAAATGTAATTCTTTTTTCAGCTGACAGCACATTCGACAGTGGTCAGGGGTCCACTGTTTATTCAGACTCGCAGAGCAGCCAGCAAAGCGTCATCTACTCATCTGTGCCCGACGCCGTGCCGCCCGCAATCCAGCGGGTGTACAGCCCGCCTCTCAGCGAGGGCCAGGCGCTGCCCCACAGCCTCCCGCAGCTGGGGCACTACCAGCAGCCCTCAGCAGTAAGTCTAAAGCTTCTCGAAGCTGTGCTGTAGCCTAGATCATACTTAATGACTGCTTTTATGCTGTTTTCAGTAGGTGTAGATTGCAGGGCTTGCTTTATATAATTCTCGCTTGTTTGTAGCAGTGTATACTTGCTTAGTACTTATGTCTCTAGTTGATCTAAAGTGTGCATTGAGTAGACAGCCTACTTCTAGTTCATTGTGCCGTTTTTAAGATGTGCTTTCCTAGCAGCTGTCTTTTTTATTTTTTTCCCAATTAAAGAGTTTTTCATCAGTCTGTTTTCACTGAGCTGCAGTAACAGTGTAGCTGTTTTTACAGCTTTTAATTTATTGCTTTTAAGCTTGTGCATAAATTTGAGGACATTTGTTTGTTTTCATTCACTGTCAATATAGCCACACATTATTGCTCCTTCACTTGTTCAAGACCTTCTTGGGTGTGATGTTTCTCCCCATTGTGACAAAGGTCAAACATCCGTTCACTACCTTTCTGGCTCTGGATTTAATATTGCACAGAGACGGCGAAGTACTTCCATTATTGAGGCTCCAAAATCGAGGACTGGTAGCCCAGTCAGGCTTTCACACTGTTGTGACCTTGACCAAAAGCAGTTAATGGAATTACTGGTGAAAGAACAAACAAATGTGAGTGAACACAAATCTTCAGGTGATCCCACTGAGAGGCACAGTGCAGTGTTCCCTTTAGAAGCCGCAGCTGCCCCGTGTTCCTGTTGCAGGCCACGCTTGCTGCACATGGCAGGCGATGCTCCATGTGCTTTTCGTCGCCACAGTGACTCTGTTGTGAGTTTGGCTCCGGATGCGATGTCCTGTCCCCCGGAGTTAAGGGAAGGGAGCTCTGACCTGCAGACCAGGGAAGGGGAAGCAGGCATGTCACCACTGATGGCACTCGGGAACTCAGCAAACCCCACCGAGCTGATGTTTCTCCAGCAGGCTTGTCAGATGTGCCTGGCCTGCTTATTTCAGTCTGGTAAAGACCAGAACACATCAAAAGTGTTGATGCCTGCTGAATGCGCTCACTCCCTGTGCAGCCGGATCCCAGACAAGTCAGTGTCTCAACCTCTCCCCCAAACCAGCGGGCCGTGTGGCAGAAGTTTAGACCTGCCTTTGTTACGTGAATCTTTACAATACATAATTAGCCAGAAGACCAGTTCTTCTCCCATGAGATCTGCAAGAGTTGCAGAAAATATTCCGCCTTTTGAATCCTGTGATTATGGAGAAGCCAACATGCCTGGACTGTTCCAGCCCTGTCATGAAGCTTGCACTGGCAAAACCCTGCTGGCAGAGAAGAGCAATTGGGTGACTGCAGCTACCCTGAGCAGTGGAAGCAGCCTACCCAGTAAAAATGACAGTAATGATGTGGTAGGTTAATTCTTTGTCTCATGCTATTTGACTTAAGAGAAGAAAAGTCAAATCCAGGACCAGTGGTTGTTTCCTGCTTGATCCAGATTTACCCAATATACTTTGGGAGTGCTTCATTTTCCCTGGTTTTACCTTATGTTTTCCAAAATGCCTGCAAGAAATTGTGAATAGTATTTTGTGAATGCACTGAAACATGACTCCATTTACCTGAAGGAAAAAACCCGTAGCCAGATCCCTCCACTGTGGAAACCACCTTTCCCATGTGCATACTTCTGCCGAGACACATCCTTCCTCGTTTCTTGTTCGCATGAAGCATTAACTTAGCTCTAAATATAGCACTCGAAAGGCACATCTTTTAAAGATTGTTTTTATTATTACATTATGCCGTGCAGCATACTGTTTTAGAGCAGATTCATTCTTTTCATTGGTAGGTCTCTAATTTGGACGTAAATGCATTACTTTCTCTTTATTGGAAGATTTTGGAAGAATAATAACTTTTATTCATGGGCAAAAATCTGACTCGGAGCTTTCCTTAATTTGATGATTTTTGTAAGAAAGATGAGTTATCATTGTGTTTTTCCTGGGAGATTATTTATCAAGATAACACCAGCTCAGAACTGGAGCTGAAGTAGCCTTTTTGTTTTAGGCTTATAAACGTCAGTCTGAGAAACTGCTTAGCTTTAACATCTTTACCTACTCTGAGCTGAAGTATCAGAACTGTTACTGGTACAAGCCTTACCTAAGCTGTTTTTTTGTCTTAATTTCCTTCACGGTTTTAATTTTTTTCATTTCTGTATTTATTTTCTTGGCATCCATCTCAAGGAAATTACCTGTTTCTTTCAAAGATGAAGATTCTTTATGAAATAATGAAAATCTTTGTGAAGTTACTGCTTTACTCCATTAGTGGCTGCTTGTTGATATATCCTCTGTCACTGTGTATATGCTTTCAGTGGTTTTACTGGCTTGCATGCTTGCTTCCAGATGAAATGCAGTGCAGTGTGGTTGTCTTATTGGCCTTTGGAATGACAGCTCTTTTCCACCTTTTTAGATTAATGATCTTTCCATTCCTTGCAGATAAGTTGTCATTATGTCGTCTTCCTCTGTTTTGACCTAAGTATTAAGTTGACCATTAGTTGGAATGCACACTCTTGGCAGTTGCAGGGACTCCTTCAGCAGGAAGCCTTCTCTTTCCCCTAACGTTGCCTTCTCCTTGCTGCAGCCTGCCCTGCCCGTGGTTCAGGCTCCACCTGCGGTGGTGCCCCAGAGGCCCCAGCACTACCAGGAGCCAGCGATGACGTTCCCAGTGGTGCAGCCGACCACCGTGGCCTCCATGCAGCTGGGGCAGTCGCAGCCGGTGCTGGCCAGCCAGCAGGTGAGGGGCTGCTGCCCAGGGGCTTCACCTCACACCTTGTCCATGCTCTACTCAAGACAGTGCCTGCGATAAGTTTGAGTTCTTGAGCACTTACATTGCTTTCGGTATAGTACTTCACTGTTGTTTTGTTTTTTACAATAGGCTTTTATTAATTTCACTTCGTTGTTGGGCAACTTGTGCTCAAAATATTTCTAAAAGGTGAGAAAGCAGCTTTGATGTTGGGATCAGTTGTCTTCAGGTACTTGGGGGTGCTGCTTTTTGATTTGGGCCTTTTAATTGTAATTCAGTAGAAGCATCTGTCAAATCTCTTAATCTTCTAAGAAAAGAATCTCTCTGAATTGTCTCCAAATAATGCACATTGGATCATCAAATTCCCCCCAAAGTCCTGTTCCTTAACAGTGTTTACACAACACAGCTTTCAAGCAGGGACAGCTGTGAAGGTTGCAGTTGCTTCCTTGTACGAAGGTGATGTCAGGCAGTAAGAAATGTAGCCTCAGACCTGTATAACAGTTGATCTGTGGCTCATTTTTGTGATCATAGCAAAACATTGGCTTCCTTGGGTAGAAACTGTTGATGAGGCTGGGGAATGCTTGCGTGTTTTGTGTCTGGCACATACTGTGTCTCTTCATACCTTCCTAGTTACCAAAATGTGTTGGTGTTAATTTTTTTTTAACATGCCCTATTCTTCGGAAAGAATCAGTATAAAAACAGTGTAATTTGGTGTCCTTGAAAAATGCCTGCTTATGTGAAATTTTATGATGCATTAGATCTTTCTTTTCTAATGGACAGTGATGATGATATGGTTCTTTGTGCCAAAAATTGTACACTTTCTCAAGCACACTGAGGACATTTCTGATCACAGTGATCTTCCTAGTGGCCTCTGAAGCTTTATGCTGACAGATCGAAACACGTTGTTCACCTGGCAAATGCAGTTTTGGATAGGGTATTTACCTAACTTAATTTCTTCTATATACTCTTCCTTCCCAGCATTGCTGTTTCTTGAAATAATTCCATCTCTGTTAGTAAAAAAAGACAGAGCAGTCATTGTATCTGTTTTCTAGTGAGTCGGGCTGCATAGTTCCCTTTTTCTGTTTGTGCCCATGTATACTTCCTTTGGACACTGATAGAAGATGCGCCTTGATGTAAGCTCTGGGACAAAGTTCATGCCTGAGGCCATTAGTTCCATTAAATGGAATCACCCTCAGGATAAATCTGGATGCAGTCCCAGATCAAGGCTAGACTTACGCAGTTTCTTTATTCTTAAATTTTTCAGGATAGTCCAAAGAAGCAGAGACATGTGAAGAAAACACATCCAGTTTGCAGTGTAAGAACACCCCTGAGTCCATCTCACAGTACTGTGGGAGAAGTAGCTCAGTGACTGTTCAGCTTTTGATAATTGGCGTTTACCAATTCTAGGAACTCTTAAATGTTAGTATCGCTCTTGGTTCCATTTAGGAAGACCTACTTTGAATGAAGAATCTTCCTTCTACTCTCAGCAGCAGAGAACTGCAGGTTTTTGTAGGACGGTAGGGTTTCTCAGCCCGAGTACATGAAGTCAGGGTGATAAATTCAGCTCTATAAAACAGTGAAATGTATTGATCATTTATGAATATAAGCTGATGACTCAGATGGAGGCGATCAATATTGCATCTCCTCAGTATTTTATTTTTTTCATTTTGGGTATCTGTCTACTTATAACACTGAGGTTAGATTAAGCCAGAATTAGTGCAGTTCATTTGGATTCTTTCCACTCGCTGCATTTCATCCAGACCACACGCATTTTGTAGACTGAAGGTGGAGGCCTTAGGAAGTTACCTCAGTTCTGTGAGCACGGTTTTTCTGCCTTCTGCTCAGCATCCCCTTGAGTGCAAGCAGGTCGAGCAGCCGCGATCAGTGGACTCAATTCCCAGTTAGCTGCTGGCAGCCTGTCTGAGCTGCAGATTAACCCAGCTGCAGATGCCCAGATACCTGAGCTGGCTTTGTGCTGGTGAGATTTATCAGCCCAAGCATACGCTGCGTGGAGGTGCGAGAGGAATGCTCTGCTGGGACTGAGAAATAATGCAGGAGATGAGCTGGTGCTGTGCAGAGCTGGTCAGTGCCTGTTCGGTGCCACCTCCAGTGCTGCTTGTGGCATTCAGGGCATTCAGCCCCAGACACGGCGTGCCAGTAGCCGAATGCTTGTTTGTTCACTGATCCCAGTATTGGAAGCTTAGCAGTTGTGGCTGAGTTTTTGATGCTTAAGGGCAAGTGGCATCTGGCTCCCTTGATACATCATGTACAGTTCTATTGTACTAATGTATTTAGAAACTCTGGTTGACAAATCCTGCTGCTGAAAAAGCGCAGAGCAAAATATTGCTCTACTGACTTACAGCACAAGTGGCAAAAATGAAAGATAATGCTGCTTAGCTGTTCATTTTGAACTTACCTTTGAACACCAGGCATGGTATTAGATTTTATGTGCTGCAGAGCTCGGGCTGATTGATGTATGTCCAAGTATATCCAGAGCCAGCTTGGTGCCTCAGTACTATGCTTCTGAAGCAAGATTTAAAATATATATACGTGTATATATTAGTATTTTCAATGTTAACAGAAGTGAAGAAGGAGATGTCAGAATCACAGAAAATGTGAAACTTTTTTGCTGATTATTTTCAGCTTTTATGCAGCTTTTTTTTTCCTGCTGTGCTATATGAAATCTGGCAGGCCAGTGGAACGCCATTCCCCAGGTAATGGTAAAATTACTTTTTTGGCTGCCACGTTGCTACTGCAGCACCTTACACGTAACTGGGATCTAGCTGGAGCTTTTATGATAATTGCTGTTTTGTTCACATCTCAGATAATGTGTTGTCTATTTCAGCGCCTGATGCATTACATAGTCAGCTCTTAAATGCCAAGATTAACGGGGCGTAATCTGCATAGTGGGACTCTTTGAAGCCAGTAGGTGGGGATTTTACAAGGCCAACCAGAACAATCTCTGGGATTTAAAGATTGAGTCATTAAAAATAACCTTTCCAAAACAGCTACAGCTTGTCTTTTCAGGTAATCAGGTATCTGAAGTTCAAATGTGTTTTAAACACAGGCTCTTGTACAGTGTTCAAATTAGGAGTACCCTTCCCTTCTATAAAGCGTTTTTACTGAGTGCTGGTTCTGATCTGACTGTGCAGCATGGCTGTGTCCAGTGATCTGATTCCTTCATAATATACATATTATGACCTTCTTTGTTCTTCCTTTCTTTCTTTCTTTCCTGGCAGCAACCCATATCACAGCAAACTTCTCTGCAGCAGGTGCTTGCCAGCCAGCCGGTTTGCCCCATCCAGCCTGCCCCCCATCTCCTGCCCCAGTACCAGCCCCAGACCTCTCAGGTGGCAGCCAGTAGTACACCACTGAAACCCCTTCAGATTTCAACTGTGCCACAGCTTCCTCCAGTTGCCCCTTCCCAGGTAATATCTCTTGAAAACTGTGTGAATACATTGTTTGAGTAAAGCTTTCTAGCTAATAATTAACACAATTTGCAGTTGTTGGGTTTTTTTCTTGTGTGTGTGTGTGTGTGTGTGGCTATATTGCATGCATGCAATTCAGTCCATAGGTATTCAACATTCCCCTAATACTTTTATTTTTCTTTGTCATATTTTTTTGTTTTGAAAACCAAAAATATCCTTTGTGAATAATCCTGTGCCATGCCGAGATAATCCAGTTAGTTACAAATTTGCTATAATTGCATATTTTTTGCACTTTCCCCCATGGTGTTCTCTTCCCCCTTCCAGGCTTTAGAGCATGAGAAGTTGTCCGTTTTTTTGTTTTTGAGCTCCTGGCTTCCCCACAATTTCTACCTCCCTCCCAGCTCTGTTCCCAGGTTCATTGGTAGGGATGGACCCTTCTTATGCCTGGAATGGTTTGCTGCTGTGCTTGCTAGTGGCAGCCATTGTGATGTGAAACAGCTTATCCCAAGGGGAAGAAGCAAGCTGCTTCCATGATAATGGGGTAGTTATCATGGTCTGCAGTGTCACTGGGAGGTTTTGGTGTTAAAAACCATTTTACAGCATTTCCTCTGCTGCCTGTGATGCAGACAAACATGAAAACAAAGATTTTTAATCATCGTGTTGTATTTTGCATGAAAGAGTGCAGTGTTTTGTCTGGTCTGATTCCATTTCCCTTCTGTTAAAATGGAAGCAATACTTTGTTAACTAGGATGTTGCTTGAAGGCTATCAAATTATCATGAGAAATAGTTTTAAACTCTCGAAAATATCCCCTTAAAATGAAATTTTAATTTTTTTCCCCTAATGGTTTAATAACTAAGGTTTTATTACTATCTGTAAACCTCAGGAAATAAATGGAAGTGATTAACAGACATAATTATCATGGCACAGGTGATCTTTGCACACTGTATGGCAAATGAAACTGCTTTGTACCACCAATGAAAGCTCTTGCGATTTATATGATATTATATTTTTTTCAGATGCCTCAGTTTCCTGTCATTCCTGCAATTACTCCTCTGGCAGGACTTGACAACCTTCCTCCAAACCTCTCTGATATACCTGCTGCAAACGTGCCCCCCATACCTGCTCCTTCTCAGTATTTCGCTCCAGCTGTGATTTTACCGAGCCTCCCCATGAACCCCACTTTGCCCATGGCACCAAACTCCCCCGCCCTCCCCATGCAAGCAGTGAACCTTCCTCATACAACTGTGGCTTCTCTGGTCTTGCCCTGCCAAACAATAGTGCCAAATATGTCGGCTGCTACAATACCATTGCTTGCCGTGGCTCCGCCGGGAGTGCCAGCGCTGCCGCCGCACCACGCGGTGTCCCAGCTGCCCCAGCAGCAGATGTACCCGACCACCTTCCAGCAGATAATCCAGAGCGAAGCACCCTCTCCCCATCACACTCAGAGCACGCAAGCCGTTTCCCAGCCGCAGCAACCTCCACCTCCTCAGTCACTTCAGCCAGGCGTAATTCATCCATCAGAACAGCCACTGTCTGCCCCTGGGGCCGGTAACCAGGTAATCTGCCCGGCGCTGGGCTGTGTCGGTGCTAGGCTGTAGGGTGGCTGTTGAACGTTCCGGGGGCTCGTTCCACTCTAAATGCAGTTGGGAGATTGGTTTCCTGCATGAAGATGTTTTGTTAACTCTTTGTCCTTGGTTCTGGAGGTGATTGCTAGAACTGAACTCGTGTGAAGTGCTGAGGTCTTTACATGGGGGCAGATGGATGTTGTGGGTGTAAGGAGAGAAAAGTGGGCAAAGTACCCACTTCTGAATTCTGTCTTCCCTCTCCCATCTCAGTTACAACAGAGTGGCAGGGAAGTGTGAGCTGTGGTTCTCCTGGGGCAGAAGGAGTGACTAAGCCCTGGCAGTAGCTGCATGGCACTGGTGATGCTAATGTCTTTGTGCCGGTACGCTCGCGGTGCAGGGACATTGTATACAGATGGCAAAATACGGATGAGCTGGCAGGAGCAACTGAACTGAGAGCTGTTTTGACATAGAACTGCTTTAGAAGTTTGCTTTGTAAAGCCAAGAAAAATGACCATTTGATAACAACTCCAGAAAACTCTATGGAAGAGGTTTATCAGATGGGAACAAACGCAAGCCGCAGACCCTTTCTCCCCCTTAAAGGAAATGAAGCATAACATGAAGCTTCAGATGTTAGCGCTGCTTACAAATGAGCTGATTCAGGGCTTGTTAAGAGTCTGTAAACATTTCCATTGCCACATCTGTGATATGACAACATGAAATGCTGCCTTACCCAAGCAGGAGAGGGCAGTAAATCTGTTAATAATAGCGTTCTTGAAAATTTCTGCTCTGCTACATCACTTTGTTGTAACACGCTGATTAAAATTCATAACGTCCCATTTCAACCTGCCGTGTCATGGCATCTTCAAAGCAATGCATCATTTTAAAATTTGTCTCCAGCCATATATTTGGTACAGAAATATTGTTTGTGGGAGTGTAGGCAATGTGGAGCCAGAGGCAGTTCCCATTGAGCTCATTAGCCACAGCTTTTCCAATGCCTTTAGAAAGAACTGAGTTGGGCATGGCAAACACCAGAAGCAGACCAAATACGTACACACAAAACTTCACAACACACACAAAACACAAAAATTATACTTTTCAGGATTTAAAAAATAGTATAAAAAAAAAACAGACAAGAGCATAGGGGTATTAAAAAATGCACTGTTCTATCTTTTAAAACACTTTGCATAGGAAGCATTTCTGTAAACAGAGGCATTCCTACACAGAGCTATATTTGCAGTTGATTTCAAGCGCCTCTGTGTTCAGTTATACTCAGGTAATTTATACTTTGAGACATTTTGTGAATTATTTGAGTTACATAAAGATGAAAAAAAAAAAGTTGTCACTGTTCTTCTGCTCCATACGCTGCAGTTACTGTTCTAAAAACCTCCACTTAGGCAGTCTTGTAACAGTTGTGTGCTGCAAGGCCCACTGCATCTTTATTTTTATCCACTTAAAACCTGGGATAATAATGTGAGCTCCTACCTACATTCTGCACAGAGCACACTGCGATGAAACTGTGAGCCCTAATTCTCATTTGAGTCCTGATTTACTTATTTATTTTTGTTATCCAATGCTCTGAATCTCCAGGTGATGGTAGATACTCCTCAAACAAGTCATGCAGTTTTACCTAGTTCTGAAAAATTTTCTTTCTTCCCTAATTCTTCTTTCCTTTTTTCCTCTTCCTATGAGCTTGGTCCCCTTGGAAAAATACACAAAGTTCCTAAAAGGAGAATGTTCTGTTCTTAAATATACAACTCACAGAACTGTTATGCAGAATAACAACACAGTCTCTAAGGCATCTAATCACATAGGTCCTGTTCGCACAAAGTGTTCATGCACACAGGTTATTTTAATGCACTGAAGAAATCCACTGAGATAAATGAAACTTCCTCTGTGCAAAGTTACACAAGGAATTGTTTGCAGGATCAGGACCTCAATGTTTAGTGTGCCAAGACTGAAATTTGGATTGAAATGTTCAAGTGGAAGACAGTGTGTTCTGCAAGACACTGCATATGTTCAGGATAAAAAGAGTTAATTGCATAGCCTTTGTCTGCAGGTGGTTTATGTATAACAGATTTGAAAAGTGCTGATTTAAATTACTGATAAAGTATATATTTCTCTGTACGTTGTGATATTGGAAACAGCAAACTGGACTTAAGATTTCGCTTTCTTAGTGAAAGATGGTTTTGTTTCTATAAACTAAGTAGCACTTGTTAAATAAACGCACTGTCACGCTTATTTAGGAAGAATCCTTTGATTTGATTTGATCATTTTAAAGCCAACTTTAACTGCAGTTGCCCTTTCAATTAGAGACCACACGTATGCATTCTCACTGTAGATTTAAAACCCTTTTTCCATAAACCAGAGTGACATCAGCGCTGTGATATGTAAGTCAGGAGCACGCTAAGTAGAGCTGTGTTTTAATTAGGTGTCTGTTGTGTTGCAGCAGGTTACTGGACATACTCAGTATGGTTTGGAAACTGGAGCCCAGGTGCCGGTACTCCCAGTGCAGCCTTCGCTAGTCATGTCACCGCCTTTGCAGTTGCAACCTGAACTGTTGCCTCCCCGCGTCGCTCCAGAAAGCATTTCACAGATTCATGGCAGCCTTGCTACAGCTAGTCCACCAGTGCCCATAGATCACTGTCTGCCTCTACAGCCTTCGGGTGTTCTGCAGCTTCAGCCAGACCTTTCCCAGCCCCTGGCTCAGCAGCTCCCCGCTCCTGGCTCAGCCGTGCAGGCGGTGGCAGAGACATCGCAAGAGGTAGAGCCGTCTCCTCCTCAGTCGCTCACCAGCCTGCCCTTAACCTCCTGTATGCCTGTGGGCTTAGTTCATTAGGAAGATTCTCCACTCTCACGATAGAGAGCCAGCTCTAGATGCTAACTCAGCAAATAATTGGCCATTTCCAGCGGCGTGCTGCACCCTGACTGCTTGTGAAACATCTCCTTGAAGTGATCAGGCTGCAGGACAAGTCAGCTACAAAGCACCTCTTTGTCAGTAGCTGAGCACAAACAGAATTTAAAAGACTGTCTTTGAGTGCTGTGGGTCAGTAAGAAGCTGTTCTACAGAGTTTCATCCATGTTTTGTCCAGTCTTGTTTTAAATGTGTCAAGCAATTGTGCAACTAATCATCATTTGCCTTAAGAAATTATTTCATAATCCAGTTCTTCACCCTTCGTGCCCTGTAGTTTGGGTCTTATTTGTATTTTGTCTGGTATTGTACATTCCTGTATTGCCTGAGTTCTATCCTGGCCCTGGGATTGTTTTTTTTCCAAATACTCACAAACATTACCAATTCTCAATGGTCATATAAGCAAGATAGATTTTATTTGTTTCCTTTTGAAACTGTCAGCTTGCCCTGTCTGCTCTTTTGGCTTTTCTTACCACTCCCATGATTGTTTAAGCTTCAGTCTTGACAGAATGTCACAGAATGTTTCCTTCTCTTCAGTTCTTTGATAGATACCCATAAGCAAAGCAAAACAAAGGTTTTGGCATTTTAGATTTTGGTGAATAAGTTTTCCATTTCTGAATGGAAATGTCCCTCAACAATTCTGCTCTCCTGTTTCTGCTTTCTCTTGAGGTTCTGTTCTGAGGCTTTTCCTCCCAAAGTAAGCATTTACATCTGCTCAAACTAATTTTTTTAGCCAGTGCATTTGTTGTGATCCTTTCCTATGCAGTGCAGCCTAAGAATTCTGTTAGACGTCCAGTTAAATCCTCTTCCAGAAGCTGTAGCATAAGAATGAGACTAAATCTGAAACGGGATTCTGGTACCTCATTCTGCCTGCCCTTCTATGCAGTGACAGCCTAGTTCTTGTCAGAAATTAATCGTGCTGTGCTGTAGGATGTTTCCTGGTGACTTTCTGTATGTACTGTAGGTTAGATATAGGTAGAAGAACTAGCAGGACTCGCCTTTCATGCTTCGTGTGCAGAGTCCCTAAGTAAAGCCTGACCACACTAGGCCTTACTCCTTCAATCCCCTACTTCCGTCCCTACTTCCATCCCTTACTCCAGCTGTTTCTCCTCCAACCTGCCTATTTTCTGTGTGCGCAGCTCTTGTCAGAATCCATGCTGATGCCAAAGCTACAGCCTTGCCTGCAGGGCCCCTCCAGTTTGAGCTTCTGGAAATACGAACAGATTTCATTGCTATGGTTCAGTATGATGTAGGGGGGGTGCAAGTTGTCCCATATTAAGTGAGAAATGGGTGCCTTCCAGGGCACGAGTCTGTCCTGGCAATTTATCGCATCCTTGGGAACAGGTAATGGCTGTTTTGTTAACTTCATTCTCATGTTTCACTTGTAAGTTATGTGCCTTCTCTTACGCAGTTTGAGAAATCAATCCAGTGTCACACTTTTGTCCTCTTTTCCTGGAATGCAGAAAAGGCACTGAGTAGGTGTGATTAAAAAAAAAAATAATAACAGTGACAATATGATATCCAGATTTATTTCTTTCAAAGCTTCCCTCCCTCTGCTCACACCTGTGAAATCTCCAGTCAGAGCCAACCCCAGAGTGCAGGTGCTGGCCTCTGGAGCTCTTTGATATGTGAGATGCTGGTAGCCTGCAGCAGTAGTGAGCTGTAAGTGCTGATCATCACAGCTGGCTCCTGAGCAAAGCACACGAGCATCACACTGTGACACTGTGCAAAGGTCACATTGGTCCAAGTACTCCCCGTGCTGATTTTATGACATATTTTGCTAAGGTTTTCTGGGATGTAAGAGGAGTTTCATGCCTGTAGATACTCCAAATGTCATGTTTTGTTACTGCTCTGCCATTAGCTTTTATCTGTCTTTTGTTAAATTGTGTCGCAGTACTCACATCCAAACCAATTTGTATTGATCAGGCAAATGAGATTTTGTGAGGCACTTGATGAAGTGCATTACTAAAATCTAGATACATTATGTCTGTGTTCTCACTGTTCATTAATTTTGCAGTTTTATAGAAACTGCGGTCAATTTTGGCATGGCAGTGAGTGGCGTTATGAGCAATGAGGGGTGTGGGCTGGTTAAACCTCAAAGCTTTTAACTACAGTTAAAAACTCTTCTGGTCTGAGTATACAGTGGTGTCAGTCCAGGGGGTTGTTTGTAACCATGTCTATGGAAGAGTGTTATACGTGTTTATAAATATATATGATTATATATATATTTATTAAGCTGATGTGTGTGTATATACATGTACTGCTATATACAAACACAGGTGTGTGTATCTGTTACCCATACATGTAATGAGGCTGTAGTAGCAGGGCATCATCCTATCAGGTCTGTGCATGGTGAAACACCACTGATGCTAGGGCTAGCATTGGACCAGGGAACAGGGAAGTTTTTAGGGTAAACTTCTGTTGTGTTGAGACCAAGAGGGCATTATATGAAGAGTGTATTTTTAAGAAAAGGATTTCTGTCTTCTATTTGGAAGTTCGTCAGAAATTCTCACAATAAGCCAAGCATGCTTAAAATACCTAATATTATTTCAGTGGACTATACAAAGCAATAAAACACATTGGTGTACAGTTTACGTTCATTCAAAAGGAATCAGGCGTAGATGTGAATTTGTCCTGCAGTAAAACTTTTCCACTGTGGTGAGGAGCGCTTCGTTTCTTTCACTGCCTCTTCTGCTTTAGCAGCAGCAGCAGCAGGGAAGGGAGCTGGCGCACTGGTGTCCTAAGATGGACACAAATGATGATAGGAGGGTGAAATGGGGCATTTTCAAAATTGATGAATAGGTTAAAGAGAATGATTTAGGATATTAATAATATCTCAACAACAAACCTTTCTTAAGGGTGTTTTTGTCTGGCAGTACAACATGTTTACTTAAATGACTTTTTCTTATGTTTTAGGAGCAGGCAATACAGGACAAACTTCAAACTCTGTCACAGAGCTGTGAAAGGTATCATTATAATCATTTCAGCAAAAAAATGCTTTCTTTTCAGAGGGTGAATTTTCTGTCTTTATAAGGCCAACTGAAATGCCTGGTCTTTGGATTGGGTATTGCATCCTAACCTTGATGTATGTACAACAAATTTCAGTTCAGCAAGTAATTTATTTCTGTTAAAATAACTCAAGTGGTATGATCCCTGATTTTGATGCCATTAAATCTGTACAAAGGCATTTTATACTTGAGTAATTGGGTATGTAGCTTATTTCCCATTTGGAATGGGTGCACCTATATCACCTTCTGTAATGATCCATCCCCAAGAGTGATATAGGAGATGATGTATTGGTGAGAGTTGTACTTTGAGCCACTCAGATATATCATTATGACAAGGATTAAAACATGCCAGAGCTCATTCTGAGGTTTTGCAGTGCACAAGTTTGAACTCAAGCCTAGTAATGCATTAATTACTGAAATAATGACGACACTTCCTTATGGTACTGACAGAAACTTCGAGAGGTCATTTCTTGCTAGGTGTGATAGCCAGAGTACATGCCTGACTTAGAGGAGCTCCTTTCACTTACTGAGCATCTCTCAGGAGCTGGCTCAATCTGGGCCAGAATATACACTTTTTTGTATTCTGATTTTCCTCTGTCTTATCTATATGTAACTCTGTTGTGTGATGGCGGTTTCATTCTGGGGGATTTCTTCCTTTGTCTTGCAAAGCTACATGAGTCCAGATGTTGCTTCAGGTAAAGAGATGAGTGACAGCTTCGAGGGAGCAATAGGAAGTGGAAAACAAGAAGGAAAGTCTTCAAAGAAACATAAGAAATCTACACGTGCTCGTTCACGCCAGGAGAAAACCAACAGACCCAAACTGACTATATTAAATGCAAGTATTCTTTCTTTAGGGATAAAGTCAGGATTAGTTCAGTTGTGCCAGAAATAATTGTTTTTTAATATTTGTTTGCAGGTTTGTAACACAGGAGATAAGATGGTGGAGTGTCAGCTTGAAACACACAATCACAAAATGGTGACTTTTAAGTTTGATTTGGATGGTGATGCACCCGAGGAAATTGCTACTTACATGGTAAGACTTGGTGATGCAGCTGTCCACAGGCTTTTGATGTAACATGTTGCCTTAACCAGTTTATTCTCATGTGGGCTTGTTACAAGCCGAATGGGGCATTAGCCAAAAAGTTATAGTTCTTTTCTCTGTTTTGATGTGACTTTGTAGGTAGAGAATGAATTCATATTGCAGAGTGAGAAAGAGACATTTATTGAACAGATGAAAGATATTATCGATAAAGCAGAAGATATGCTCAGTGAAGATACGGAAGGAGAACGGAGTTCTGATCAGGGAACAAGTCCCCAGCAGGATACTGATGGAACAGAAATGAATGAGGTGAGAAATGTTAGAGTTCTTGGTTGATACCTTTTTGTTAATGTCCAATTACTGTAAAGAAGTTTCACAACCCGCACTGAACAAAAGAAAAAAAAAAAACAAAAAAGGTTTCTTAGCTAGAAAAGCAATTCTTTAACTCAGTTAAAACTTAAATATAAAGGTTCCTTGGAATAATGCTGCTTTTGCATTGATACTAAGACAGTGGTTTTTTGTTGTTTGTTTCTTTGAATAGGAGAAGCGGCCATCTCAAGTGAAGACTCCTGTGTATCAACAAAATGGTAAATGTGCTTTTGAATAAAAGCTTAATCTCTAGCTTGAAGTTGCTGATTAACTTATGCAGAAGTTTTCTAGATTGAGGAAGATATCACCAGTTTTACTGGTGGTTGTATCTAGAAATAAGGGTGTAACAGTGATCTCTGCTGTTAGCAACCTTCACGATCATAGGGCTAAGCTGACTGACACCTGGGACATCTACGGAAGCCCTAAATTACATCAGTGGATAATCAGTGGTGTAAAAATCAAGAAGCATACTCTTTTCATAACTACATCTACAAGAGAAAGTTAAAAGATATGTTTGCATTGGTAATTTAATTGAAATTTCTAACCCATACATTTTCAACTACCTCATTATTATTGAGGGGAGTTCGGGGTGTCTGCATGCCATTGCATCTTATGGGTTTTATAGCCAAGTGGAAGGGAAGGGGATGGTCCTTTTATCTCTGAGTAAGTGTGTGTTCGTGGAAAAAAAGCTAAATCTCCGATGGAGGAAGCATTGTCTCAAAAATTCTTAATTACAGGAAGAAAGGATAACACAGGACTTCTTTAATGAATGCAGAAATTGGATGATCTTTACCGACTAGATCTTCTGCTAAAAATACCTGCTTTATTTTTGCCTATAAAAGTAATATCATTTTTTAGCACTTTTTTTTTTTTTAACATTTTTACTTATGCTGGATGTTACCAAGTGCATATAATTCTCATTTGCCATTTATATATGCCAGACCTTGAGATGAGACTTGAAAGAAATGTTAGCTATAACACTTCCAACTTAGAAAAGTTAAAATGGATAAACTTTACCAAACTGACATTTTTTTTCCATAGTAAGCTAACTGTTTGCAGAACCGTTCATAAATTTGTGTTGTATGCAATTATTACCTAAGGATAATTAATACTTGAGAATAAACTTACTATAAATGTGTGGCAGAATCAGGTGGTGTCAGTCTCCCTTACAGAAACTGGCTTCTCAGGGGTGAGAATCAGATGGGAGCCATTGTACAGCCATAATCTTGGCTGTTACCACAGGAATTTGGATTTTCTAAATATAAATATAAAAATTAAAACTAGCTTATGACGGGTGATCTGGAATAAACCAAAACTATTGTTTACTTTTTATTTTCGTATCTAGTTTTGCATACTGGAAAAAGGTGGTTTATTATATGCCCTGTGGTGGAAAACCCGACTACGGATGCACCAGAATTTTCTCCACCAGTTCCTCAGGGTGCACAACAGTCTGAAGGTCCAGGTATTTACAAAGTTTAGATTTTTTAGAAAACATTGTCTCAGAAGGAAAAGAAGTCTCTTGGCTTTGATCCTCAGTACCCCAGTCCTTCAGAAAACTCTGGTGGCTTCAGAAGGGCAAAGGGTGAGGGGAGAAATGGACTCTGATGCCTTGGCTTAGAGGTGTATTCCTCAGCTTCTAGTTCCAGGATGATAAAGAAAACTTCCTGAGATGTAGAAGAGCTCTTCTTCCTTACCCTATAAAAGGTGCACTTGATGCAGCCTAGGCCTCATTGTCATTGTAACAATTGAAGACAGTTGTGCCAGAGACATCACGTAGTTTGAACAATCCATGTTATCCTGTCATTGGTCAAGTGTTGAGCTGAGTAACGTTCCTGTTGATAACGAAACACTTATCACACAAAATTAGTTTGCGTCTTTTTCGATGGAGAGCCTTCTTTGAGCCATACACAACATACGTGTGTTTATTGTACTGAACCAAATTAGAAATGTTTATCTGAGTTTGGGGGAGGTTCCAGAGTTTTAAGTGTCTGCCTTTCGCTATAGCATGGCTGAAATTCTAATCACAGGATCACGGGGGTTGAAAAGAACCTCTGGAGATGAGTCCAACCCCTGCTAAAGCGAGTTCCCTAGTGTAAGTTGTACAGGAAAGCATCCAGATGGGTCACTGCAGCCTTAATTTTTTCTGTAGGGAAAAGTTCAGGCTAGGTGTAGTTGTCGTTGCAGCTAGTCAAGAGGCTCTGCAGTGACTTTGTTTCACTTCGTACAGCCCATCAGGAGTTCAAATGCTGTTTGTGTCCTTCCTAGACCTGGAGCAGTCGGATGATCAGCAAGCAAACTCTGCGGTGCCGGATGCGCCTGGTGTCTTAGCTTGTCAGCAGCTTCCTCTACAAGCAAGCATCTGTGACAGCCCCATTGGGGCCTCTCCATCTTTGGCACAAATTCCTGCTGCAGCATCTTCAGCTGGCTTGCCGAGCCAGGCAGAGCTCTCAGCTCCAGCGCCGCCAGGACCTGCTCCAAACATCCTGGAGCAGGCAGCTGCTAACGGAGGCCAGCCGGAATGTTCTCTACTGCAAGCAGCATTACCTGCCCCACCTGGCACTCCAGCCCCAGGTGCCGCCCCTCTGGAGGAGCCCGCTGATGCTCCCCTGGCTGCCCAGCCTACTCAGCAGGCGCAGCAGCAGGCAGATGAAGCCATGTGTATCCCTGACGTGGAGATAGCGTGTTGCAGTGTCGGGCCGCCCAAAGCAGTCCCGCCAGCTCCTGCCAAGACAGCAGAGCTCTGCCCGCTCCCTGTGCTCTCTGATGCTGTTGTTTTGGAGCGGCAGCCTGCGGCCCAGATCCCTCACCTGCCAGAGGCCGGCCAGCCCGGCGTGGTGCAGCACTCCTTTGTGAATCAAGTGTTTCCTGCATCTGTTGCATCCGAGTCTCTCAATCTGGCAGGATCTCAACTTCAGAGCCCCACTCAGGTGTCCATGGCCACATCCCAGCAGCATGTGATGCTGTCCCAGACACAGCCTGTCACCTGCGCCAGCGTGGGGATCAGCCTGCTGCAGCAGCAGCAGCAGCCATGCACTGTGGAGTCTGATGGAGAGGGGCCACCCCGGGTGGATTTCGTTGACAACACAATAAAAAGCCTCGATGAGAAATTGCGCAACTTACTTTACCAGGAATATGTCCCGACTTCTTCTGCATCAGCAGGAACTCCAGATGCTTTTGTGCCACTGGAACAGGCAGACAGTGAATTTAACTTGCCACCATTCACCGAAGATCCCAAGTTAGTGTTGGATTTGAGAGAACCAGGCCATAACACCACGGATAGCTGCCAGGAGGTGAAAGCTGCTGAGGCCCAGTTTGTGCCGGCTGTGCCACCTGAGGTCACACCTTACCCAGCATTGGTTAGTGCAGTGACTTTGCCTTTTGTGTCTCTAAATCATGGACACCACCAAAGTAGAGCCCAGAAACAGTCTGTAGTATAACATGTGTATGGGCTTCTTGCTTCTCTAAACATTTTACATCTGCTCCTCTGTGTATTACCTTTTGTCGCTGCTTGCTTTCCATTGTGAATGTTCTCTTAGAGTGCATCTCGTAAAGTTAGAACTTGACTCACTTTACATAAGCATTTACCAGTGAAAGCCAAATTTTTCCTTTGGGTTTTTAAGCTATATAATATCTTAATTCACATTTCTCATCATATCCTGTTTCTAAAGCAGGCAGAAATATGACATTTTGTAGTTTACGGTAATGCGCATCATGGGAATAGTCGTTAAGTTCTGAAGAGGGAAGATAGTGTTTGTCTGGTCAGCTGGCTCTGACGTGGTATTGTCTGTGCATCGTTTGCATGTGTAGCTGGTTACATGGGGATGTTCTGCTTCACCCTTGCCTCATACCGCAGCAAATGCACACAGCAGCAGGGAGCTGGCAGAGAGTGTCCCATTTATGAATGAGGTGGAATCACAGCAGTTTCACAGACCTCCTCTGAAGACTGATTATAGTCTATGAATAGTTTTGCTTTGTATCGTTATCACAAAGTTAGCAATAGTAAATGTTTAATTTGCATGTTATGCATTTATGACCAATTTTAGAATATGTAGTTGCTTACTGAAATAGCACAGACTCCAAACACAGCCTATATCGCTCTCTCTTTGAAAATGAGGTACAGTAAGTAGCACCGAACATGAAATATTTATAGGATTTTTCTAATATTAATTATTGGCAGGGATTACAATACCTGCTTTCTAAGTCAGAATAAAATAAACACCTCAGGACACTTCACACAAGTGCTGCAGCTGGTGGAAGACTCCATAGGTAGATGATTGCCCAGTTTCCAGGAGCGACCTCTTTTGACTTCCTGGGAAATAGCTAAGGAAAGATGAGCTTTCCTGTTTTGGTTTTGTTGTGTTTTTAATTTTACTTAGTTTACTGATGTTGGTGGCTTGGGTCACCATTCGCTCTGGATATGTGTTGCAGTTTCTCAGACTGAATGCTGAGTTCATGAAATAAAAAGGTTTGCAGCACTTTCTGCTAGAAGATCAATGTTTACCTTCTTTGAAAAGACTTCTGGAGATAATGCTATCACCACTGCCAAGGATGAGCCAGTTTCATAAATGTCAGCTGGATGAAGTGTTGGAAAGATGCAGTATTTTATGGAAGTTTGGCTGCATTTGAACAACTGGTTTGAACTATGTGGTGATTAATGACCACCTACTGCAGTTACAATGCCTTGTTTATGAAAGGTGGTCTCTCTCCAGTAATTGAATCTAGTCCTTCTGAAATCTGGGATTTTCTGAAGAGATGGATGCAAAGTGTGTGGTTTTGCTGGAAGAGCAAAGCAGAACAAAACCGAAATTCATTTATAATTCAGTGCCCATGTTGACTTAGGTTGCAGTCTCCTCTGTGATTCTGCCTCCTCTTTGTCTTCCAAGGGAGAAAAAAAATGAGTTAAAGGAAAAGCTAAGAGGCATCTCCACAAACAATATAAAATAGTTTCACATTGCACGATAGTGTGAGTATAGAGGGATGGGGGGAGAGAGAGAAAGAGAGGATGAGAATGCACTGGCTTTGTGCTGGAAGCTGAAATGCTTTTCTTTTCTCTTTTTACTGAAAGCTTGAAAAGTCTGATGCCGCAGGCGTTGGGACTGAGTCCTTGGAAGCAAGAGGTGGGTCAGCAAGCCAAAGAGGTAATGCTCCTTTCAGTGCTGAACTGCAGTGATGGATCTGTACTTGTGCCCGGTCCTCGCCTGTGTCTCCTTGCTGCTAGCTCTTGGTTAACTGCCCAGCAGTGCCCGGCGCAGTGCTGACCCTGCTGTAATATAACAAGTATTAAATAGCTCACTCCTGCCAAGCTTCCTAGAAATAAACTGCCTCGCAGGCAGATTTATTTTAAACCATAAGTAGGTAATATATGCCTACGGTATAGGGTGTTTGTGTGGAAGTCTGTGATCTCAACAGTAAATTTCTGGTGCCATTAAAACATCTGAACAGAAAGTCCCTTGGATTTTTGGGGCTGCGTAAAAAGGAGCTGATGAAAATCATGTGGTTGAGGGTAACATCTCTGGGGAGAGGCTTGTAAGATGTTTGAAACTCCTATGGAGAGATAGGAAGAAGTTCTTTTCATTAAGTACTCGCAGATATAATGGCAGTTTCCAAAGTAACACAGTAGGAGCAGCAGTAAGAAACTGAGTGGTTGTAATGCTCCTTTTACCTGTCTTGCAAGTCATGGGAAGCCTTGAGTGTTGAGGAGCCTGAAACTCCTGCCCCTGTCACAGGTGTGGGGTGAGGAAGGGCTGGTCTTTTTTTTTTTTTTGAGATTGTCCTGGCAAAGCAGTGCCACATTTGTGTGATGGCAGACAGTTCTTTGCTGGCACACCTGCAGCCGCCTGCAGCACCTCTGGCTGGTTCAGAGCTGGAGCTCACACACTGCCTCTTCAAGCTACAGGGAAGTGCAGTACTCCTAGAATAAATAAGGGACCTCGAGTCATGTAAATTACCAAAAATGTTCATGGCTCATTGGAGTCCATCACTTAGGTCAGTGCAAGAGGAAAGCTCTGAGTTTCATGTGTTAATTTGTCTCACTAAAGGTGGAGAAGAGCAGGTGTAAGTGAAATGTAGCACTGGGTACTAGAATTAATGTATCTTGGATACCATAAAGCAAGAATGTATTTCGCTGTTTCAGAAATATGAAGGCTGTATGTTCACTGTGTGCCGTAAGAAAGCAGCTTTCTGAAAAGCTTGTGTACACTGCCTTAACTTCAAAAGCAGTGGCCCAAGTGGTGAAATAGTGTTGTCTACATTATTATGCTTTTTCACATATTTTGTGGTCCAAATGGCATTTTCTAAGCTTGTAATTTCTGCTTTCAGCAGTGTGATGTTTAACTTCATTTCAGACACTTTGAATTGTTGGTGTGGGTACCTGTGAAATGAAAGGTGTAAAGTAAAGGTCCATTTGTGGTCAAATGCAGCATTTTACATGCGTGAATATCTGAGAGGAATTACTTATTTTTTCAAGACACGAAGAATACCTTGGTCATACAGGTCTAGTGTACCATGCAAATTTCACTCTACTTCCTCTCCAAAATTTTCCAGTTGGCTTAAGAAATTTCACACTCTTTTTGTTATTTGAATTCCCCAAATGAATAGACTGAAGCTAGTGTCTACCTGCAGGTAATTTGTACTGTTATCATTACTGTCTCCCGCATTAAAAAAAAATAATAATCCTAGATCCTGCATTACAAGGAATTGGTATTTACATCATTCTTCAGTGCTGCACTGTTACCCTTGAGTTTGCCATTGGCTTGCTTTATGCAAAACCATTCCAGACATTAATTTGTTGTTTTCTCCAACTTGTAAACCAGGGTCAGCTGCGAGCATCACTCCAGCTCCTGTGACTCCAGCAAAGGGCCTCCTCCAGGTAACCAGAAACCACGCATAGTTTTATATCTGATTGTTACAGTTACTTTCAAAATTAACCTCTGTTATTCTCTCCAGGTTGCACCCACATCGTCGAGCAGAGCTAAACAGATGGAAACTTCTAAAACGAACGAGAAGGCAAAGGCTACAACTTCATCTACGCACACAGATAATGTAATGCAGCTATCGACAGCAGATGGGGTGATAAATAACCTTCAAAGGGATGACTCTCTAGACTCCGGTTCCTATGGAAAACAAGCTGGAACTCATGATAGTGGTACACCAGCCAAAACTATTGGCAGGTTTTCAGTAAGCAGCACGCAAGATGAATTAACTTTAGCAGCGCCGCATTGCTTAAGGTTCTCTGCGCCCCCGGACGTCTATTTGGATGAGCTCCCTTCCAGCCCCGACCAGAAGACAGCTGTCCGACGGGTGCAGACAGCCTCATCCGTTGATGTCCTTTGTGACCAGGGCTCGAGTGATTCTGCTGAGGAACCTTTCCATCGACAGGCTGCTGCGGCTCAGCCGTCCCCTCCGAGCAGCAGCGCAGCCTCTGACTTAATTAAAAAAGCAGCAGCTTTTCTGCAAAGGACTGGAAAAGTGGGCTCCCAAGGCCCCGATTCACCGAACGGGCAGGGAACAAAGATTCCTACCATCAACATAACGTCCTTCCACTCGCAGTCATCGTACATGAGCAGTGACAATGACTCTGAATTTGAAGATGCAGACATGAAGAAAGAACTGCAGAACTTGAGAGAAAAGTATGTTGGTTTTGCGAACAGTATTGGGGTAGAATGCATTGAGATACTTAGGCAGCATCTCTGCGTGTGCTAAGCAAATGTGTTTTGCGTAGCTGTAGTGAGTAAAATGCTCCTGAGCAAATTAGGCATCACTGAGACCTTCCCTTGAATGTCATCCTGCATCATTTTATGCCTCACTTTATTTTCCATTTCCATTTGGAAGTGGAATAATTCTTTTTAAATCAGTGAACTTCTGCTGTGATATCCAATTTCCCTGCTTAAAAACTGCATTGATATAGCAGCAAGTGGTAGCACTTGTGGTGTGTTTGTGTGTACTATTAGGATCCAGTGTGGGTGCTGCGTAAGGTCGCATAACTAGTGTGGATGTCTGCATAGAGAGCTGTAAGGCATTCTCTTCATGTCCTTCTCTGCAAGAGTGCTTCAGACTGGCAGACCTACAGACCCACCACTGTCCCTGATGTCACTCTTTTGAGAGATACCTGCTAACAGATACTAAATTAAAACCTTCACTTCACCTCACACCATGCCTAAACCTCAGCAATCTGCCCAATCTCAGGGAGGTTTGAGAAGCCTCAGTGGTCTGCTGTGCTGCCAATCCTCACAGCTTTATTAAAACATTAATGTTCCTTTCTTTCCTGACATGCGATGGATAATTGCTAGCATTAGTTGGTAATCTAAGCAAAATCTTTAATGTATGATGTAATGGTTTTGCTGAATATAGATGCTACAAGTTTTTTATACAGAACTACACTAATACAAAAAGTTTGAAACTGACTTTATGGCAACTTTAAATCAGAATTCCAAAATTGATTGCTTTTACTTAGCATATTTGAAGTCTTTTACCCGGGGCTCTATCTTACAAATCAGTGTATGAGAAGTCAGCCGCCACCTTTGCTAAGTAGGTGGTTCTGACTTCGCACGCTGTTGGGTAGCTTTTATGATTGAAGGTTGTTTTGTTTCATCTCACAGCTAGTTCTGCTGCCAACGCGTGGTGCTTTATCAAATACACGCTAGCAAACGTTTTGTTTTTATGCTTAGGCATATGAAAGAAATCGCCGAACTTCAGACTCAGCAGAAGAACGAGATAGAGGCTCTGTACATTCGGCTAGGGAAGCCCCTCCCTCCCAACATGGGGTTCCTTCACTCAGCCCCACCAAGCGGCCGTCGACGAAGAACCAGCAAAAATAAATTGAAAGGTGGAAAACTATTAAACCCTCTGGTTCAACAGCTCAGGAGCGGAACATCAAGCACAAGTAGGTGCACTAGGTTACTTTCCACTTCCCTGTTGGTTTTGGCTGTTATGGTTTTGCTGTGTAATTGCATGGACTGCATAAAAGTTACTGATTTTTTTTTCTTCTTAAAATGGTGTCTTAAGTTTGCATGCTGTGAACTGGTTTTGAAGTGGGCTTCCTTTGAGACCATCTTGTTACAGTGCCCCATGCTGAACTGTACCTTCCCTGCATTTGCTGACAGTGTTTGGCAGACAAACAATATCCCACTTTAATTTGGAATACAGCCTGGTTATATTTTCTCATCGTTTCTCCAAATGCAATTTATTGATGTTTGCATTCACTTCTTAGGAGCTGCTGTCCTCTATTGATTGGGTACTGTATCCTGTTGTTGTTTATTTTTTCCTACAGTATGCTATATAAATAAGATGGGATTGTATTTGCTTCCCCAACAGTGGGAGATAAGAAAACAGTTAATAAAATCTGTGATGGATGCTTCGACCATCTTTGAAATACTTTGAGATTTTCTCAAATGCTCTCAAACAATATGACAATCTTGAGTCATGATCTCTTTGGAAAGTAGGAAGATGACGTTACAGATAACAAATATCGATACACTCCAGTGCCTATTTCTTCAGCAGGATGTAGAATAGGCCAATTTTCCTTCAGCTTAGTTCATACGGTTATGTGGGAGAGTAGCATGCTTCCATATTGACCCCGTATTTCAAATCTGGTGGGTCTCGTTTGCACATCACTTTTACAGATCTGCTTAGCAAGGCTGATGCAGTGGAATTCTTATGACTGTTTTAGAGGGTTTTGCTTTTAATTAAGGATTCCAATTAAGACAGGGAAAGCAGATTCAGAGGCAAAGTGTTGGACTAGATGATCTTATAGGTTGTTTCCAACCTTGTAATTCTATGATTCTATGTTCTGTGCTCCATCTCAAGTCGGATTATTTTTGCATACAGGATCTGAAGCAGTGTTCAATCTTTCATAACCATTTTGCTGCTGCTTGGCTAACCGGTGTAGGTTTTATCTCCCTTCCTTGTGGTGAGATGCTGTGAATGTCTGTGATTTTGTCCATCCGTTTGCCAGTTTGTTCTTGGGTTGTCTGTAGCCATTTTCTGTCTAACAGAGAGAACCCATATCTCTCTGTTTCTGCTCATGGGCCTTGGCTCATATCAGCCAAGGTAAAAGCCTTAGTTCAAAGAATTTCAGCCTATTTCTGAGTTATAATGTCCTCCTCTTAAACACCATTTAAATTAGAGAATGGCAGTTTGCTCAGTTATGTTGTTTCTTTGGTGCATGCTTTCCTTCCTGCATTTCTTCTTTATTATTTGTCACTATTCTGAGGCACTGACTGAAGTTCTCATTACTCTGAGAACCTGTATTCACTCCCGAGTCTTCTCACCCTTACCTAGTTAGACTCCTCATTTCTGGGGCTTTCTGAGGTCATTTCTCAGAGATGAAGGGCAGATAGTCTCATGCAGTTATGGATATAAGCTAATTAGTATTGCCTCTGTTAGTTGCTTTTGCTGTTGAATCTGTATCACAAATGATTACGAAGCTACTATCTTGCTAAATGTCTCCTTACCCAATATACCTATATAGACAGATATACAGATACAAATTTTTTATAGAGATGTGTATATATAGATAGATAGTTATAAAGAAAAAAATCCTCATGTCTTCTCAGCAGCTTTTTATTTTTCTCCACTGACTTGCTTTCACCTCAGGTTTGAGTGCAAACCTACTTATTCTGCTCAGTCGTCTTGTGCCTCCGTTGCCCTAATCAGGTACTTCTGCAATTCTAAACAGTGCTTTTTGAGTTCTTGACTCCAGTCCTTCTGAAAAACTCAGAAAAGAAACTATAAAAATCAAACTTACCCCACAAGCTTCTTGGAGGATCAAGAGCAGTGGCAGTGTGTGTAAACTATTTGGTGGTGGTGGTGATCTGTGTAGTCTGTGCTTCATATGGTACTTCTGAATTGTAGACTGCTGTTCTTGGAGACAGTTGTTTTTAGGCACTGATATTTCTTCAGCAGTTTGCTAGCATTTGCTGTTGCTTGTATTTTGTTTTTGTTCTTTCAGGTAATGTTTCAGACTCTAAAGACTCACCTCACAAAGAAACAACTAAAGCTCAGCCCGGATCTCTCGAAACCACAGGAGTAACTTCCTCTGTGTCAGCCACATTTGGGAAGTCTGTTCAGACACAGCAGCCGTGCTCTGTCAAAGCCTCTTTGTCTTCTGACATCTGCTCCGGCTTAGGCCCCGAAGGAGGTGATGTGAACGCAAGCTCTGGCCAAGGTGATTTTTTCCTACCAGCTGTTCAGCATATCCTCCAGCACATGCTAAAATCAATTTGCTTCCCTTATGCTTGAACTTTTAGGAGTGGATTTGGCAATCCAAATTACAGGCTTATCTTTAAAAATATCACTGCAGTATTGTCAGGAGAACAAAAATACAGTATCTCACAAAGTATTCAGAGTCAACACTCAAGAAGGCACACTAGATTTTAGGTAGGAAATACCTTCTACCTTTGCTGGCAGTGCTACTGACACTTTTTCTGGAGTCTGCCTTGTGGATTTCTTAAAGGGAAAAAATAGAAAGGGAAGAGAAAAAAATTAACAAATGAAGACGGATAGGAGACTGTTTCCCATGGTCCATTTTGGGCTGTTGTTTTAGTGCCTTGATATGGCTAGACCTGGAGATCCTCATTATAAAGTACTAATCCTTCTGAGGTGTGGAAAAACAATAGAACCAAGTTATGTCTCCTTTATCTAAGGGGTTAACGTTGTGCATGCTTTTGGAAGCCCAGCTAAATGACTGTAGAGCAGTAGATTGGCTGTTCCCCGGTCCCGACTTCTGGTACTTCTGTGTAGTGCATACCTCTGTAGGCTTTGACTGATCTTGTTGCCATGCATAGTGGAAGTTATAATGATGATTAAAGTACCTTCCTCTCATTGCACATCCTGCCAAACTAATCTACAAAATATCTATCTGTTCTCTTTTGCCGTTATTGCATCCTTTGTGTACGGTCAATTAACTTAATCCTCTTTGGCAAAGTTAAAATGGAGATGTGGATGTTTAACTAACAAAGCTGATTTGACTGATGGTATAGGACATCTGATCACAGCTACTTGTACTTTATAAGTGTCTTTGTTTTCTTCCCTTTATATTCATTTACAGGCTGGACGGTTTTCCACCAAACGTCTGAGAGAGTGACCTATAAATCTAGTAGCAAACCTCGTACCAGATTCCTCAGTGGACCTGTGTCTTTGTCCATCTGTTTGTATTTGTTCTTTTGTATTTTATCACAGTCCATCTTTCTTTTACCCCTTTTTCCAATCTCATGTTTTATATCTCTAATATGTTTGGCAGGATGCCCCTTTTTCTGAGCCATCTTATCTTTCTTTATCTTTCTTTTAAGTAATCATCACAAACACACCTTATTTATATTAATTTTTCATATGAAAGCTTTTTTGCACTGCTTTTGGCTCATGCCTGGGCACCAAAAGCATGTGTGGAAGATCTCATCATTTATGATATAGCCTAATGGTAAATTTTATCCTGGACTTATCAAAGCTTTTGTACTTTATGTGATTTATGTTGAAGTAATTTTTTTATTTGCAATGTGGCAAATATACATGTCTGCTGTCCCGGTTCCAGCGACAACAAAAAGAAATCCATCCTTCTGTAGACGAATGGTCTCTTTCACACATGTTTGGACTATGAAGACATGCATGTAGCAAGCTGATACAATACTAGAAGGTCACTGAAGGGTATAACTTCCATACAAGGGCTGTATTAACACGATCTACAGTACTGTTTATATCCACTCTATTTTCTTTAATTTTTCCCCCGCTCTTTGCATGTGGAAATGCTGAGACGATAGTGCTCCAGCTAGTTCTTTCAAAATGTCTTTTCTAGGTGGGCTTTTCCCCATGCATTCCCTTCGATCAGTTTAAGTGAGCAATTCTCATGTACACCTCAGTGGCGGGAAGATGCGGTTACTCCAAAGGAGAGTGCCATCAACTTTATGTGTAAACTGATCTGGCTGAAGCACTGCGCTCAGTTTATTTTCTTATGACCTTATGTGACCTCTGAGATGAAGTCAATTAGCAGTTCATCAAAGCAGAAATCAGTACAAAGCAGTATCAGATTATTAAATGATACTCTGAAATGGATTGTTAGGATCCAGTATTTCTCAATTCAGATAATTGTGCACCTATTGTTTATACCTTATCTGTACAACTTCTAAAGTAATTGGCGATTCAACCAAATGATATCAAGCTGTTTAATTAAAAAGTGCAAACCTTTTTACCTAGCAGTATTTGCTGCCCTTTAGGCAAACAGATTTTGCTTGTACAATAAAGATATGTTGGGCTGACCAGGTACTATAGGCCACTTACATATAAAATTAGGAAGGCTGATAATGTTCAGGAGAAAATGTTTGGTTAACCCACTGTTTGTTTGCATTGATACCAAGTCTCCCATTGCAGTGCGATGTTGCTCATCATTACCCACGTGGTATAGATCAAAGGCACAAGACCACTTAAAAACACTCCCCCTAATGTTACAAATAAACAATACTTTTAAGAATAATCTTGATTTTGTTTGAGGTCCTAAATCCAAGCGTTCAGGTTCTGTAAACTGATGCTTACTGCTTAGCACACTGCTTTTATTTTCGTACCAGTTTTTAATAACAGTTTTGCCCTCAAGGTTTTTCCGAGTACCTGAGGGAAATCTCAGTATGTGATTTTGGCCATCTGGTATTATAACGGATGTAGTAGTTTCTTCTCCTGCACATATAAATCTCAAAGTGGTTTCATTTACTTTCACAGAACCACTGTTTAGGAGGATACTAAAGCTCTGGGAGGTGGCAGTTCACAAACAGCGTATTAAAGAAGTTTGAGTGCATGGATATTGTGAATGAAACTGAGGTGAATTCTTCCAATTATGAAGCTTCCCAATACTTTAAGTAATCAGCAGCGCAACAAATTGGTTTTCTGTTCTCAGCCCATATGTTCTCTTCTCAGTTTCTTTGGGCAAAGTGTTCAGAGATTTGCACTCCCCCATTTGTGAGTCATAGCAGAACCGAACTGGGGACCTGTGAGGAAGCTGGGCTGTGTGGCCAGAGCCCGCAGACGTGTCTGGTGGTTCCATCTAGTGGGTGTCCAGAGCAGCCATGGGCCTCAGGGAACAGTGCAAAGTGACCATGATGGCAAGGAGAGGGCCAGCTGGCTCGTGGCCCTTCTTTCTGTCAGGAACATGGGCTGCCCAGTGCAAAGGAGACGTGAGGGTTTGCAGCAGCTCCTGCATGGTGCTCTGTGTGAGCACCTCTGCATACAGGAGCACCAAGAGTGGGTTTGAAACACGGGGAGCAAGCGCATGTGGGCCTGATATGTAACCCTTGGGTGCAGGTAGTTCTGTGAGAGTTGGCAGTTCAGCTGGATCCGTCCCACAAATCAACGCTGTTTTGTTATTTAGGAGTTGCTGGGAGGAGTTGCTGCATTTTCAGGAATGTTCTACATCTACACATTTGACTGAGGAATAACAGCACTCTGGGGAGGGCAGCTCAGATGTATTGTATTAGTAAATTAGAATCATGCTTCTGTGAAGTAGTGTTCAGATGCTTTAAAGACAGTTGTGCCTGGCTACAAAGCCCATCAAGCTCGAACGCTTTCAGGTTCTCCCAGCACTGCTGTCTGGTCTGTCCCCTTGTCCAGTACTGCTTTTTTCTTCAACTTCTCATGGAGTAAAATATTTTTGATGGTCTCCAGCATAATTTTAGCCCAACCTTTTCCCATGGGTTAAATTGCAAGGGCGTCTTAGAGAGGAGTTTGCACTGACTGTGAGTGGGATTTTCAAAAGCTCCACTTGGCTAAGACTTGTAATCTCATGCAAAGCTATTCTCGTCAGGTCTGTAGTAATTAATATATTGTATGTGAATGGGATTATGGAAATGGTCTAACAACTTACTGCCATTTCAATTTTGTTTTAGCTTTCATGTTTTTTGACAGCCGTCACAGCACAAATACGGGACGGTGGATTTTTTTTCTGTCCTGAAAGATACAATAGCTTCTTAATTTTTCAGATGTTACCTCTGGAATTGGAAATAAAGCTTAACTTAGCTTAACTTTTACAGTCAGAGATTAAATCTCAATTAATTAGGGTTCATCTCCTTTTCTTTTCCAGCTATTAAACACCTTTATTGTGGAAGTAATACAATTAATCTGGTGAATTAGGTTTACCAAGCGCACTTTGAATTGAATTTGAATTTAAATCAAATCTTAGCTGGTCTTCGTCAGTCCCTGCTAGGTAATGTTCCCCTCTCCCAGGCAGCGCTGCAGTGATGCAGCTGGGAAGAAACAGCTCTTCTTGGTGATTCACCTTTTTGTAGGTCTTGTATTAAAGCAGGCTCCCTTAGCGTGGGTACCTTGTGCGTGTCTAGAATCAGTGCTATCTGTCACTTCCCGAATGTTTTGGAGCAGAAGGTTTGCATTGGCACCTGGGGTGCACAGAGCTCGTGGCTTGGTGCTCAGGAAGCAGTGGGGCTGGTGATTAAACATTTTTACATGCATTTGAGCACGTACTGAAGTCAGCTGCCTGCTTTTAGTTTTTGCAGGCATTTTTCATTTGCATACAGACTGTGCCAACTTCTACCTTTTGCTACATGCAGAATGCTGCAGGATAGTTAAAAAATTAACATTATATTATTATATTACTACCGCTGATGTTGCTATAATGGGGTTTGCTAGCTAACTTTAAAAGATAGGTGTTGTAAAATATATGAGGGAAAAGAGAAAAAAATTACCAAAAAAATGCAACACGATGTTCAGTTGTGACTGTGACTTGTACTTTTCATCTAAGCTTTGAGTTGAGAAACTAAGCTTTTGGTCATGCTTGCATAAGACATTACTGTAGTCATGTCCTGATTTTCCTGAAATATAAACTTCATAAAGCTATAGGAAATAACAAAAAATTCTTTCAAACCAATCGTTCTTTTCCTCCTCATGCCACCCATATCAGAACACAAACATTTCTTCTCCCTTTTTTCCTCCCTCTCTTCTTTATTTTCTCTTCTCCAGTCTCTGAGTGATGTCTCTCCTTTCTCCTTTGAAGACTCATTCAGAGCCCATGTCAACCTGGACCTGCAATCTCTGAGTTTAAAGCTGCATTTCTGGCACAGTAAAATTAAACAGTGGCACCAGTTTAGCATAAAGAAAAGCACATACATTCTGTATCTTGCTTTCTGCCCAGCCTTTTGATTTTACTCATGTGTTCAAGTGCTTCTTCACGATAAACTCACCATGCCCCATATCAGATGTTCATCTCCTCCCATACCATAACGATATTCTTCTTATCAAGTCCAAAATACCTTTCAGGAAATTTGGCACTCTAATGGAAATGGTGCCAATGTCTGGCAAGACCTAACTGTCAAATAGGGTTCTCTATACACATCTGGCACTGTAGATAACTGTCCAACAGAATATGTAAAATAACGAAGGCTCTAACAAGATAATAATGAAAAAACACGTAGTTTGGTTAAATGAGAACTCAGCTACTCTGCTGGATTGTTTTTCTGCACTTGGACGAGATGAAGGGAAACTCATTTTTAATTAACGTTCAGAATCTCACATTTAGACACAAATCATGCTAATAAATAATTGAGAAAATTGGCCTCAGACCTGCAGAACAATGTATCTTTTTGGACTTGTAAAACGGAATGTTTCAGGGTGATTGTACAGTTTGTCTTTGCAGCCAGACTAGCGTTACTTGTTCCTGAAAGCATTTTTGGCCTCCTATCACAAACTGAATTGACATCATTTCCTGCATAAATAGGAATCAAAATCTCCTATTAGGAAGCCAAGGCAATTTGAAACAAACAAAAAAATGCATCTTTAAGTCATGGGACCTTGCTTTTGGCATGCTATTGTACCTCTCAAAGCTTCTGAATGGCTGCACATTAATAAAGGTTTGAGCTGTCCAGTTACTTAGACTTCCTTTACTCACCTGAACTGCTGACTTTGTCTGTCCTTTCTTGCATAATAACTACTCTCTGATTGCTTAAAAGTACAGAAGCTTGTCCGTCAGATTTGTTATGTTCAGTCTTACCTAATTCTGTATGTCTTGTATTGTTTTACCTTGTAGGGTCCACCTTGAAACGACTATGTCTAGGCAAAGATCACAGTAGTAGTAACTATCCCATTTTTGTTTCTCAGTATTTCCTTCATGGCATGGGATGCTTTTTCTTTGAGTTTTCTTTTTTCTTTTTACTAAAAGCTAGTTGTTTAATGAGTAGAGCTGATGCACTTATACTGGTATGAAATTAGACTATCTACGTTGTGATACTTTCCTAATAATGCATGCGCTGTGATGTTTGGGATCTACGCATGCTGCAAGACAGTCGTGGTAGTCTTTGTGTGTGAGATTGTGCACGCATGCTGCCAGAAAACTGGAGTGTGTGTTTGTTTCCCTTAAATACACACTTTTATATGACTGCAATTTTTTGCTGGAGGAATTTATAGCTTAAAACTCTCTTGTTCCTGTGGAGATGCATGAAATGTTGAGCACTAATTGAAGAGCTTTCCTGTCCAAGTACTTATTTTCTCACTGGTCCCTTTCCCCCGAGAAAAGGAAAAGGAAATGAGCAGTGTTCACTTACAAGTTGTGTTGCAGGTTGAATGCATGATCGTTTAAAGGCTATTAATGTATTTTATATGACCGTAGGAATACTTTGTTTATTCAGTTTCATTGACTGGTAGCTCATTAACAGAAAATGGAAAACTGAATATTTGTGTTTGCTTCTGTAACAATTTTACTGCAGTTCCATGAACTTTTTGCTTGGAGAGATGGTCTTATTTAAAATATTTAGATAAAGTAAATCTGTTTGTAGAACCTTTCTTCCAGTTTGCTGCCGGTCTTGCTGTGTCAGACTTGTAGTTACCAACAGATAAATAGGACAGATCTCTTCCTAGTGACATACAAGCCTATAAAATTCAGTTCCTGTTAGTGCTCTTCCCATCCGCCTTCATCTGTCCCAGAAGTTCTGTATCTCTGTGTCAGAAACTCACATGCCCATTTATGGCCTCCTTTCTCCTTTTTCTTCTTCACATAATGTTTTTTTCTCCCAAAATGTCAAGATGGCAGAGGGAGCCTGTGGGTCCTGGAGCCTTTGAGACATTGAGGCCAACTCTACTCTTAACCTGTGTGCTAATTAAATTTTTCCAGGAGGGCAGAACACTTATGCAAATAAAATACATTTTTAAAACACATGAAGCTGCAGCAAGTAACACACCCATGGCAGTCTTCTACGGAGAGACTTTGCAAGCCTGGCAGTGTCGGTGGCACTGGGGGTGCCTCTGTGCATCTAGTCCTTCTCTCTTGGTCGTGAATTTCAGTTGAGAGAAGTTCTGGGCAGGTAACACAATGAGACATAATCTGAACGCATTTGGACCAGTGGACTTGGACCATTTCTTTAAGCAAAGGTGTTCTGTAGAAAGGAGGGGGAGGGCAAAGTCAGGAAAGCCTCTGTTTGAATTGCAGTATGTGGGAAGCTATGTGAGCAGATAAGTGGTGAAATGGAGACGCCATTGTCAACTTTCTTTGTGTGTGATTTTCCAGGATCCTCTACAAACAGTCTTGTAACGTGTCCCGAGCCCCTTCCGCAATCAACTCTGCAGGTTCAGGCCAACAACAGTAACAACAAGAAGGGAACGTTCACCGATGATCTTCACAAGCTGGTTGACCAGTGGACAAGCAAAACTGTTGGAGCTGCACAGGCAAAGCCTTCTTTAAACCAACTGAAGCAGAACCAAAAAAGGCAGGACATGGAGCCAAAGGCAAATCCCATGCAAACACAGAATGAGACATGTGGAGTAAGTGGCGCTCCTTGAAGAACGTTCCTTTTGCTATGTGTCTGACAGCCTTTGCAGAACTCAGATTTGGAGGAGGACATAAACTAAATTACTTCAGATAGCTGCTTCGTATAAATGTCCAACTCTTTTCATTAAGTACTAAAACAGTTTTGTTGGTTTTTTTAAATTGTCTTTTGGAATAATTTTGGGAGCTATACGGGCCGCAATATATATACTTTAAAATATATATTTTTAAATTGCAAACTGCTCATTAACAGTAACATGCAGCAATACTTAATACCACTAACCGTACGTTCTTTGACTTAAGTTTTTATTATTGCTAACATTTTCTGCTTTTTGATGTTTAACATGAATCTTCCTCAGGCAGGCAGTGCCTGGGCTAGTGGCCTAGTGGCCTGTTGGCAGCAAGCTTTTATCTTAGCACAAGCATTGCAGGTACTGCGCCAAGACAGGGCACTGCTCAGTGTTGTTCTGAATCTTGCTTGATATCCTGCACTGTGCAGTACTAATCTTGTGCATCTGTAAGGCCCTTTGCCTCATGGAAATACCATCTCAGGAATTCCGTGGAAGTGAAGTGCAATGAAGCCAGACTCAGTGGTGCCCCATTTGTCCTCTCTTATTTTCCGTAGCAGGCAAACAGTACCACGGTGTGTGTCTGTGTCTGTGTCAGCGTTCAGTGCTTGTTTGTGTGACTGCATGACAGTGTTGAGGACACAGCCAGAATCCCAATTCAGAATTCTCTCCCACCCTGGTCTGGTTTTCCAGATCCCTTTCTCATTCTCACAGACTGATGGTTCCTCAACTAATTATTTCTGCTGGATTCTTTTTTCTTTTGGAAGAGCGGAAATTGAGCCAAATAGAGGAAAACATTAATTTTAAAGGCAAAGAAATTGCGAGAGTAAAACTAGTGAAGGACTCCGTGGTAATCCCTTAAAAACAAGATAACTGGACCTGGGTAGAAAGCCATTGCTTTTTTGGCATGTAGGAGGCAGAAGGCTTGGATGCAGCAGTGGCAGCTCAGTCACTGTTCAGGTGGGACCTGCTGAAGCAGGAACTTGCTGATGTGTCTGTTTTTGTACCTGCTGGTCTCTGTCGATCACTGACTTCACAGGGAAAAGCACTTGTGTGAGCTTATTAAGCAGTTTTGTATCGATTCATAGTGGCCATTAATGAACAAAAGCTGGAGAGTAAATAATCCCTTTCCACAGTGATGGTTTAAACAGCATAAACGTGTTCTGGAGTAGAAGTGACGTCAAGACCCTGTTAGTTCTCAGAAAACAAGTCATGAAGGTGCCAGTAAACACAAATAGAAGGTTTCTGGAGATGCTCTGGGAAGCCATGGTGAGGGCACAAGCTCTGTTCCTTTGTTGTCTCTTACTCTCTTTGATGTGCTTTTCACATCTCGTGGTCTTTTCTGTGAGGCTCCTGTGGTAGCTGGAAGGATCTGGTGGGGGTGCTCTGCCTGCTTACAACTCTGGAAAAGAGATGTGGGGGAGTCTTCTTATCTTAATGATGTAAACATCAATTTAAGATTAATTTTACCTTCTGCCATGTGCAGTCTTAACATGCTGGGTTTTAGAGGGTTGGCTTTTCAGAATATGTCTGTTCCAAGGATTTACCAAGGCTGAAGTAACTTGGATCATTGACTAAGAAGATAGAAAGGTTGGGATTCCCTGCTGTTCTTCACATTGTCACTTGCTGCTTGGAACACTCATAGCTGGGGACTGAGAGCTCTGTGCCAGCTGGTGGCAGGTGACTTCATGCACCAGTCCTAGTGGGGATGTGGGCTGCAGAAGAGATGTAAATGTGGATGGCTCCTGTTTTAGGGTTGTTGTTAGGGTGTTTTGGACACAGGAGTGGCACAGCATGCCGCGGGCTACTTCAGGCCTTCCAATATTGAACAGCACTGCTGAATTGCGTTCCCTGTGCCGGGAGCAGGAGCTGCCACTGTGCTGCATCCACCCAGCCTCCTGGGCCATAGGAAGCAGAAAGCAGGGCCACAGATGTGATGAAGGAGCCTTTTAAAGCTGTGTGAGGGCTGCTGTAGAAGTTGAGTACCTTTTCAGATTCACCTTAAAGGGGATCTGAAGTGAAGGAAGAATAATGCTTCATGATGCTGGGAGGAAAAACAGCCAGGAGGAGAGGGAGGAAGCAGAGAGGATACTTAGCCTGGGCAGCCAGGAGAGTGACCCAGTGACACCAGTTCTTGGAGTTATATGGGGAGATGTTGTACTTGCAATAAATCAGTATGGAATCCACACTTCAAAATGGTATTAGACAAAAAGCACTCAAGAAATCACAAAGGACTGAAAAAAAACAGCTTTCTAACAGGGAGCATATAAAGCTCAGGCTGTACTTCTTCAGACCATCTGTTAAGACCATCTTCTTGTCTTTTTTGATTAAATGCAAGATTACCTTTGCAATAAAAGAACTAAGGAGCACTAAACAGATTCCCAGCTCATCAGAGAAAATTTTAATAAGGTTTTATGTTGGAAATAAAAGCTAGAAAGATTGGAAGCATGGTGATGCTTATCATTCTTTTTATCTTTGATAGAGCCAATGATGAAGCACTGGAACAAACCAGCAGGAAAGTGGTAGGGCCAGCTGTCTCATAGTCCAACCAAGTATTTTGTTGTGAGAGAAGCTAACATTGGCCCGTTGTAATAATTGGAAATGTAGGCACTTCTGAATTCCTTTGGAGGTTATGGGTTTGGAAAGTGTCTCCTTGAAGAGTTTTTAGGCAGGAGTAGGAGCTGTTGAGCTCTTCCACACAGCCAGTGAGCATCCTCCTGGGGTGCAGTCCACACAAGGTATGACAAAGACATCAAACCAGGTGGCTCTCTTCTTTGTGTCCATTTTTTCCCACAAATAAAATTGCAATAAATCATTGCTAAGGGTATTATTATTTTAATACTCTCTTGCTGTCTGCAGATTGCTATTTACATATAAGCTAGTTTGGCTCATTTCAAGTCTTCTCTTTCACCCTGAAAACAGGTGTTTATTTTCCCCCCACCTCCTTTCAAGATGCCCTTTCAGTGGACGTGTTGGTGATGGATTAACAGTTGGACTTTTGATGATCTTAGAGATCTTTTTTAACCCTAAGGATTCTATTATTGTAAGATGCTTCTGGCCAGCAGCAGCAAATCTGCTTGGTATGTGAATACAATGTGTTATCAATGTCTTTTTAAATTAAATGAAGGCTGCTTTTAAGGTTGAAAGCACAGAAGAGAAATCTTGAAGTTAGGTATTCAATAAGCTGCCTAAAGACTTAGGGGTTTTATTCTATTGTCACAGGTATAGGAAGCAATAATTTGGGTGCAAAGGTGGACTTGAAATTCTGCTTTGTTTCTGTGAAAGCGACAATTCCATCAGGGAAAAAAAAAAAAAGCCAATTTGTTTGGCTGCAAATCTCCATTAATGCATATTAGAAGCTTGTGGGGAAACCTTGAGGCTTCCAGTTTCATTGCTAGAGCAATGAAATGTTCCTTTTCAGAGGTTTTATTTAAATGTGGAAATATGCATGGATTCTTACTGTCAGTAATATGAAAGGGGAGTAGGAGATAGTAGGCAGAATTAAGTCAATCTGCCTGAAAATAGCAATTTCCGTCATGCTTATCCATCTTGAAGGCGTTATGCAGTGATCCTTTCTTACAAGTAATTGTGGTCCCCACCACAGGGTCCATCTGTGGACCATATCTAGGACTGTGAGCTGCTTTCTGTGTAAAAAGCACTGGATATTGTGTGGCTACAGGTGTTGTGTGAAGATGACTGGGGACGAGGAGTGTAGCAAACGTGTTTTGTCCCTTTGTACTGTTACACGACTGCATGGACATTAAAGAAAAATTATTACCAAAAGAAAAGCTGTAAACATGCTCTGAGTCTGTGATATCTGTATGTTGTATCTGTGGCAGTCCGTGCCAGCTGCTGACGTGTGTGGTGGTGTAGGCACTATTAGTAATCACTGCACATCTGTTTGCGTTTAGTGCATCCTCATTTTAATGAGCTGCCTGCCTGGGAAGCGGGCGCTGTGGAGATAGCTGCAGGTGTGAGAATGGAACAGGACTGTTAACACCTTTGGCTGTGTCTTCCACGTCCGTTGGGTTGAAAGAATGCTACAAATATGCATCTGTGCTTGATTGAAGCTGATCAATGCTGCCTCTGAATGTCAGAGCAGCTTTCTGGAAGCTTGAAGATCAGAAACACAAATCTTCAGTAACACCTCTTAACTTTTGGTACACTGAAAAAGGAGGGATAAGAACCAACTGGAGAACTAGAGGATTAAAAACAAACAAGCAGAAGCCACTGGTCCTGTATGAGCGCAGGCTGTTTTTACATCTGTTTTCAGCGTGCTCTAAGCATGGGCTCTTTGAGTTGGTATGGGATTCAGATCTTGTGCCCCTTGCTTTCAGTTCCCAAGATAACTTCATTACAAATTTTGTCAGCAAGGTGCCTTGCAGCCTCTGTGGCTTTGCTACAGCTGGGCAATCCAGTTCTGTTTTGAGGACTGTACCACTGCTTGCTTATCTCAATATTCCAGTCAATTTTTGTGTGCAGGAGGAAGGGTTTCAGCCTCCGTTGGTGTTGATTTGCTGGTTATCCAAAGATTGTGGTTTGAAAAATGAGTTTGTTTAAGGGGCTGCAGTACAGGGGGAGTCACGAGCTGGCTGTCTTTGTTGCTCACAGCATGGGTTTGCTTGTTCAAAGTGTGCCGCAAGGTGGAGGGTGCAACCTTACATTGTGAACATGCCTTTGTCATCATACAAACAGGTTTCAATGTGTATGTGGAACGTTTGGGTTTGCAACACGATGGCATTTATTCCTGACTGACATGCGTGGCCTTAAATATAGCCGCTGCTTTCCTGAGTTGATTAGCTGAGCAAGGAACGGTAAAGCAGCATAAATCGGGTAAAGAAGTAGATTACTCAACATTTGAAAAGATCTGAAAAGAAGGCTTTTTTCAGTTGTATAAGTTTTAAACATGCTAAAACGTCATCTTGCATTTTCAGTGCTGCTTGATAAGCCCATTGCTTTTAGAAGAGACTCCCTATATAAGCTCGGTACCTCTACCGGCGTTCTTGGTCAGCCACTTCACTCACAGCCATCTAGCAAGATGAAAACCATCACTCTGAGGATGCCAAGCGTGGTTCTAAGAACAGCCATCAGAAGTCGTCATGTTGTGTAAATGTGCACGTCCTCAGTCGCTCCGTTTGTTGGTCTTTGCTCTCTGCTGTTAGTTTTGGTGAATCTTTATGGATGAATGATTTTAAATTCATTGTACCAAAGTAGCTATTTCTTACTTTGACGTTTGCCATCGCATTCACGTTTCAGATCAGAAATTAGAAAAGCAGTGGAAGGCACTGGATGCTTGTGTGCTTGTAAAATTTGCTCTGGAGCACAGGTGAGCACCCCAGAGCAGTGCATCAGAGTGCCATTGTCATTTCTATTTTGAACTGAGAGACTAAAACCAGAGACTAGAGTAAGCATTCCACTCACTTCTATACATATGTTCATTTCCTCTTAATTTTCACCTTCGTGCTAATTCTATTGTTTGATGTGAAATATTTTTGGTATTAATGGGACACTCCCAAAGTGAGAGCATTGTTTTTTCTTGTGTCGTGAATAGGTGCTGGCTTGATGAGACCCATGGCAGGGAGTTGCAAATTATGTGAAGTTTAAAAAGCAAAGAAGTACTGTAAATCTCATCCAGATTGAGACCAGGCAGCGTTTTGTATAATTATTGTTTCGGTGGCATTGTGCATTATGAAGCGTGTAATTCGGGTGCCCCTGCCATCCCCGTGTTTAGGAAGACAGAGCTCTTTCTCTGAGCTTAGCATGCAAAAACAGAGTAATTGAAGTGAATGCTAATTGAATCTCAGCAAAATAGCAGGACTGGCTCCAGCAGCCCCTGGGCAGGGTCAGCTCCTGCTGAGTCCTTCTGGTTTACCTGACTTGATCCCACAGCCCCAGTGCTGGGTAGTGAACCTCTACACAAAGTCTTCCCTTCTTTGCTGCCCTTGGTTGTGCTTGGGCGAACGGCCCAGCATGAACAGCTTTCTACAGCAATAATGTGCTAAAGGTTTGAAGGGCTGTAAGAAGTACAGTGAGATTTGGTTTCATTCTGCATTTGGCTTTATTTATTTACTTCTGCACACAAGATGCAGTAGCGCTGAGGGACAACAGGGGGATTACTTTGCACGTTAAAGCTTTTCCAGGGATTCTGCGGCATTACATTCTTACCTGCTCAGTAATGTTTCCTGATTCCTTAAACAGTAAGATTATACTGAGACGTCCTTCCCTGTGTCAACCTTTGCTATTAATTTCCAAGAAAGAATACAAGTTAGAGGTGTGAGGAGGCCAAGAGCTGGGCTGTCCTCCTGTGCATGCCGCCCCTGCGTCCCACAGGTGGGAAGATAGACACTTAATAGCCATGCTTTTTTATTTTTCTTTTTGTAGGTTAATTCAGTCAGAACAGGATTGGGGAAAAGGTGCATTGTTCCAGTGTCTTGTCCCATGTCTGCGCTAACTCCTGGAGTTTCGCCATCCATGCCAGTGCCTATGCCAGGTACTACCCCTTCTGGCACAGTAACACCCTATGCGATGCCTCTTTGTCAGTACGGAGGAGTTTTCCCTACGCCGCTTTACGGAGTGCAGTGGTCGGGGCCGGCAGCACGGCCAGGGCTGGTAGGAGGGCAGAGCGTTGCTCATTTCTCGGCTCTCGGCAAAGCTTGCTTGCAGATGTACCCTGTGCCACTGCAGCAGCCCGCGGCCGACCCGCCCGGCCCACGTGTGAGACTGACATAGCTCAGCGGGCTCTGATAGGTGACGGTGATAGCGACCTCGTGTCCATCTGTAGATGCCATATGTGTCAGAGAGGCGCGGGTCCGCAGCGGGCCTGCCAGCCTACACAGCCATACACCGCATCCAGCAATCACTGTGATGGGTTTCGCAACAGGTCGTTTGTTTGTTACGGCAATATCTGCATATATGTCATTGCTGAAGACACTTTATTATGTTGTGTTCTGATGTTTTACACTTGCAAGCCTTGAAGTTGATGTACTTGAATCGATGACTAGAAATTGTACTAACCTGCAGGAGTACAGTGCCTTGAATATCAGCTTTTCAGTTCCAGCTGGAAAGAGATGTAAAAATATTTGAAAGGTGTATTTTATTTATGATTTGCTTGTGAGTAAAGTTCTTTTTCTTTGCAAAGATACTGAAGGTTTACAGTCGAAGCTAGTCATCAGTTTCATTCTGCTGTAAATGCTTTAATTTTAACTGATGTGTTGAATTTTCATTTCCGAGGCTTTAAAAAAAAAAAAGTGAGGTGAAGTTTGTTTGAGATACTGATGGAAATTTATTGTGTTTGTACAAGGAGTAGTGAAATGCACATTGGAAAATAGGAGCATTGACAGAGTGATCCTAGTGAGCTGTGTATAAGAACAGATAATAGCTTCGGGCAGTGCAATCCATTCCTTACAGCCTTTGCTAAAGCTGCTGCAGGTTGCAGCCACTGCTGTAGTGGACGCACGAGTTCTGCTTTCTTCCAGACCACAGTAGCCAATTGGATTACATTTTCTTTCCCTGCCGGGCGTTTATAATTTAGTTAAATTACAAATCTATGCGTGTTCCTAAGTGAGAAGCCTGATGGAAATCTGGGTTGCAGGAGCACATCCGCAGGTCGCTGTCGGAGCCATGTAAGTACACACATGTGCTCTGCCTTCAGTTCCAAAACAGACGCTAAGAACGTGCTTTGCCACTCAAGTGCTAACAGAATTCACATTGAAATGGAATAAAAATGTGAAGCTATTATTTTTCTTTTTTCCTCTGTGAGCAATGAATGCTTCAGCTTTGGAATCTCACCACCTTTCATTTGAATCTTTTTTCCTTTTTCTTTTCTTTTTTTTTTTTTAAATCAAGTTTGCACCGTAGGCGGCACGGACACCTCTCTCCTGTTTGCGGGTTGCTTTTTGCCTCTTTTACTGTGCTTAGAGTCTGCATCTGCACCTCTCAGTCTAAAGGCACAAGGTAACCACTGACACTGATTTGCTGATGGTAAGTTCCACTTCTATGGACGGCACTAAGGGCCATCCCTACAGGCACAGGGAGCCAAACGAGTGGCCAAATCTGAAGGCGCGTTGCTCTGTATCTCTACTGCAATGACATTCTTTACTGTCTGACGGGCAGAGATGTCTTGTGCTGCCGAGCTGTGAATTGTATAGTTCTATTGTACCTCGAGCATTATTCTGTCTAAATTATTTTGTTTGTACCCTTTGAATATATTATTCCATCAATTCAGTTAGAATTGAGTTTTATAGACAATTATGCAGAGTCTTCTGCCTGGGCAAAATACTTACTGTAGTAAGAGATTTCTGTTCTCTGTAACATGTATCTTTAATTTGTTTGGGTTTTTTAGATTCATGTCTGTATGCTTCATGAGCAAACATGGAAAATATGTTTTCACACCAGTTTTCCTTCGGCTTGCACTGAATCCTACAGTTTGTCGCTATTGCCTGTTGTATAGTCCATCCCTTGTACACTGACAGAGTCAGCGGCACTAAAAGCCCCAAGAAATTGTATAGATTAAAAAGAAGAAAAAATAAACATTTTGTGCTTGAAAACTGTGTGAAAAACCCAGTGTTTTTCTGAAAACAGAAGCGTGTCCATTCCCCGCTCTCCCAGGTAACTGCGCCTGTTTTCCAGTGTGAAGGATTAGATGCCGTGCCTCCACTGCTCCTCGGTGCCTGCCCAGGGCTGCGTCCCATCTCTTGCAGCTGTAGACGTGCAGTGGTGCTCCAGAAGAGCTGTAGTGCCACCCCACAGCACCTCGCTGCTCCTGCAGCGTTTCTGGTGCTCCGCTGCTGCAAAGCAGGCCGGGCCAGAACATTAAATGGGTTATTTTAAGAGATGGTATCTTTAGCATCTCATTCGCACTGCCAGCAATACTGCAGTTGGGTAGGTGGTAAATGAGGCGTTTGGACCATGCGCATCCCACACTGCCAGTACCAGGGAAGCCCCATTAGCATGAGCCTGGCATAATTTAAATGTGAGGGAGGGCATCGAAGATACTTGGCCCCAGTACAAGTTTGTGCTGCTTGCACACTCTTGGCAGTCACTGATGTCGGTGTAGGCTGCAGTAGAAATGAGGAAGGGCTGTGCAGGGAGAGGTCTGGTACTTCTGCTTCTGTGCTTCTGCACATCTGACGTGCAGTTCTGCTGTGGGTGCTGCCTGCATGTCAGGTGCCAGCCCTGTGCTGCTGGTCATCAGAGACTTCCTCCCAAGCATGGCCAAAGCTGTGGGAGCTCGTGGGGCTGCCTGGTGCCAGGTTTGGTCCAGAGCTAACCGTGTTCACTTTCACTTTTAAAATGAAGCTTTCAGCTTTTTAGTGCCTGCTTTCCTAAGTGGGCTGCTTTTAGCTGGCGGTGGGGCCAGAGGTTGATGCTTTCATTTCAGTGTTCATGACTTGAATTTTGTGGTAGCCATCTTGGCTTCAGTTCTTTAGGCTGTGAACTTCCAGCTATGTTTTGTTGTCCCTGATCATGCTGAAAGGAGAGCTTTGGGCCTTGATAGCAATTAAGCAAATGACTTGGGATGGAACAAATTGGGCGACTTTTTGAGAAAAATGTGAGCAAAGGTGCTTTGCCTGCAGCTTTGGAAAAAGAGAATGCCCTGCTCCAGGGAGCTGCTAGTCATTGGATGTCTGTCTTGTGTTTTAAGAAACAGTTTTTGTTTCTTAAAAACTGAGTTATGTTCCTAAGAAGTCCACTTAAATAGGATCAGTGGGCAAGTACTTGACTGTTAGCTGTGTGCCCGTGCTTTATACGAAGCCTTTGGAAAGCAAAAGGTGTTTGCACAGCAGGCATCGGCGCTGCTCAGGCAGCAGGGCTGGCTCCCAGTGATCTGTGCATTTTGCTGGATTTAACCAACTTGTGCTGAGCCCTGTCATCCAGCCTTAGCTTGGAGCAGGAGGCACCACAGGGCTGGTGCTACAGCTTTGGTGGAGGGACAAGATATTGAAAGAGGACTTCCTGCTGCTGAGTCACACACCTGGTAGTAAGGAAAGGGAGTGCGACTGGTCTGATGTCGAGAGTGCATCATTGCAGGGCAGCATGGAAGGGGATCCTGCACCCTTCAAGGTTCGTTGTTCACCCCGGCTCAGCCTCCCTGGCCCGTGTGTTCAACGGCTGATGTGAAAACTTGCCCTGTGTAACCGTGGTCTCATTCTGTAACTTAGAGTTAATATTACTCAGGTGTTACTTTACACCTACCCCTCTTCCATCACTGTCTGGCACAGCTTCTTTCATTTTCCTCTGAGATATTTGACATTGATGGTTATCAGAAACAGGCTGTTGAACTGAACGGGCTGGTTGTCCGGCCAAGCGTGGCAGTCTGTGCGCTCCTGCAAATTGATTCCTCTTTGGAAAGAGGCAGTAGTGCTAAATGCCAGTATTTCTGAAACGAACTTCTTAATCAAGATGCGGGTTTTGCCATTTGATATTTGGGGAAGAAAGTCACTAATACCTTTGTGTCATTCGTGAGGTTAACTTGGCTTTTTCAGTAGCTGCTTTTTCTCTTTAAGTGTTTTTGTGGTCCTATTGCAGTGCTTTCAGTTCAGAGAACAGTGAGATTTTCCCCATAGACTTAGCGTTCAGAGTGTTATGTTGGCTTTGTTCAATAAACATGAGTTTGATATGGGCACTGCTTGAGTGGTAAATGCATCCTTCTTCATTCTTTGAAAGTCAGCCCTGGAGAGTTTTGAATAGAAGTCTTCATTCTGAAATTACTTGACCTCAGCATTGCTTTCCTCGTCCTGCCTGAAAAATGGCAAAGATTTCATGACTTTTGAGCAAGGTTGGCATCTCAGAAGTTAGATAACATTGCAAAAACCTGCTTAGTTTTCTGCATTGCTGCGAGGACCCCCGCCTGAATTTCAGTAATGTGTGTTGGCTCGGAGATGCAGTAGTTTGTGACCGTTTAATTCCTGCGTGAAATTTTTTGTGTTCTGGTTCCTCTCCCACCCTTCTCAATCCCTGATTTGTGGTGATGTTTGTGGGAAACGATGGTGCTGCTGATGAGGTGTGTCTGCTGAATCTCTGAGATCTCTGCAGAGGCCACAGAATCAGAGAGTATCACAAGTTGAGTCCCATTGTCACAGATGGGTGACTCTGTTGCTATAGGATTGAATTTATAAAATGGCAAAAACATAATCACAGGGGATCTCTTGACATGGGTATTTATTGAATCGAGTACGGGTTATTTTTTGTCCGTTTTTTCTTTTTGTGTGCGTGTGTTTCTATGGGGTTGACTTTTGCTTATGCAGCTGTACCAATGCAGATGTGAGCTGAGATTCAGCTGGGTATTTGTGCAGGCTGACTGCTGTGCTGATTGCTGCGCTTCTCTTGAATGAGCCTGGTAAATGCAATTATCTTCCTGTCTATATTGCTGAAACTAACTGTTGAGCACATGCAGACCGTGTTGTGGCTGACGAGCTGGTGAGGTTTGCCTGAGCAGGACTTGCTTTTTCCTAAGGTCTGTTTTTCCTGTGTGTGCAGCAGGAAGGCGTTGTGCCGGCCCTGGCTCTGTGATCTGTTACTAATGCAGATAAGTTGCAGAAGTGCACTGTAATAAAACAGATTTTAGGAGCTGTCAGGTTACAAATTTGCATTTTGAAAGAATTTCTTGCTCAAAGGGACTTGAATGTACTGTGGTGCTGATGTTAGCTGTGTCACTAAATAGAGTACCTGTAACTGATTTCATCTGGAAGGCTCATTCCAGAAGGCAGCAACTTCTTGTTGTAAAGTGTGCAGTCCCTTTTGTTATATTTTTTCTCCATCCAAAGTGATAGCCTGCTATCAGGATTGCTGTTACATATGCTTGGATCTGTATTTGACTGTAAAGCTTCTCCCTTGAAGTAACTCCCCCATGAGAAGTCTAGAGGGTGCATAATTCAAGCCTTCACTTTTATATACATAGACTTACTAAACTTTAGATTTTTCTTGCTAAGTGTGGAGAAGCCATGTACAAAATAAGGCCTGGTGTGATTAGGGATGTGCTGTAATGGTGGAATTCTTGTGAATGGATGGAATTCTTATTTGTAGAGGTTTTTTTTTGAAGTCTGTGGAGGAAGGAGCACTCAGTTTACACTTCAGTGTCGCGCCCCGAATGGATGCGCAGCATACGTTCAGCGCACTGCTGCAGCTGCGCATTGACAACCTGCCTACAAGGCAGAAGGAAAAGGTAGAACTTTCTTTTCCCTGTGAAGGCCTATAAAAAGTATTTACTCCTGTGTTGTAGTTTGGTGGGGATTTTTGAGTTACTTTGTAAATAAGTTAGAAACTTCTTCAGCATTCAGTTTTTTGTTTATCAAACCAGATATAGCACACCTAACAACGTTTCTTAGTGTTTGTTTCCTTCCCTCCGGTCAGCAGCTACAAGACACAAGGCGCAGTTTTTCCCATCATTTTCTCCAACACAGAAAATGTTGTGTGTAATTGAATTCAGTGATGCCTTTAGTGCTGTGGAGAGGGCAGTTCCGTTTTTGGCCAAAAGCTCAGGCTGCCTTCAGAATAAGAAGCTAAGAAGTTGTCCACTGGGACATGGGCTGAGTATCTGTGAGTTTCTATCAAGAGGCAGGAAGCTGCAGAGCTCGCTGTCATTCTGGCTTGATGGCTGACCTGCTGCATATGTGTATGGGATATGTCCCATTGCTATCTTAAGGTTTTTCCCTGTTACCTGGAGATCATAAATTTTGGCTCATTTCATTTCTCCTGTGCCCGATACTAGTTGTTATTAGTGGGCAAATGCTGAGAACTGGGGTGGTTTCAGGTGAACGTGCAGAACCGACGTTGAGCAGAAGCTTGTGGAAGGATGGCAACCAAGACAGCTTTGCTTCCTTTAAAGCAATTCTTTCTATGAACAGGCAGAGCAAGAAAGATGGGAGGGAGAAAACTGGGGCTGCAGTTAATGAGAGCAAAGCCCAAAACAGGGAATCCCCCAGGAGCTATGCCAAACACAGACTGTTTGCACAGCATCCTTTCCCCCATGTCCCATGTATTCCCTTCTGCCCTGAAGTACTCACTGCATTTTTTTCTGGAAGAATCTAGCAAGCTTTATGCTGTATAAAAATGTATGTGCTTGCAGACCCAATAACCAGTGTGCGTGTTGCTGGGATGTAGAGTGAAGGACGCTGGTGATGTCACGGTGCAGTGGGTGCACAGCAGCAGGACGTGCGCTGGCCCTGAGCCGCTGCTTTCTCCCACCTGGTGCTCAGTACGTCCCCTTCCAAGTCCATCATGAGCCCCGGACGCTGCGTAGCCTCCTGCCCCCAGCGGGGTGCCTTGCTCTGAAGGAATGGGTGAGGTGCTCTGGTTCTGCTGCAGCAGGCTCTGGGCTCTGACAAAGGGCTTTAGGAACGTTTACGCTGCCACGTTCTCAGTACGACACACGCGATGCCCTCTGAGGATTTCGGGTTCTGTTCTCGTGCAGAGCCTGCACTGGCTCTCGTGGAAGCGCCTTCGGCACGCTGCGCTCTGTGATCTCACGTGGCCATTTTGTCTTTTAGATTCTGAAAATGCGATCGCCAGCGACTGACACGTGGCCCCCGCAGCTCCGGTGCCAAGCGCCAGGTCCTGCTGCAGCTAAAGAGGAGGAAGAGGAAGATGGGAAATGATTTGTCGTGTGTGAGAAATTCTGTGCCGTTCTGGTCCATTCTACACAATTTTGTAACTTCTTTCTAATCATTTTCCTTTTTTATTTATAGTTGGAAATACAAAAATGTTATGCAAAAAAAAAAAAGAAAAAAAAAAAAATAAAGGAAAATTATTTTGGGGGAAAAGGACTTTGTTCCAAATCGTTCCCTTCTGTTGTGAGCCAGGTTCCTGTGAGCAGTTTCTGGAGAAGAGGGAGGAGGAGGAGGAGGAGGCATTCTTTCAAATGCTTTTTGTTTCATGCAGTTAATTGTAATTTAAGAGATTATCCAAAAAAATAAGCTAGGCACATGTATTCAGGTTCCACTAAAAAAAAAAAAGATAAGTTCCAAGTCCATTTGAATTTCTCGCAGTCAGAGCTGTTCTTTTGTAAAGAGAATACTTAAAATCTGGTTAAATCAAGTAAAGAAACCTGCAGAGACTTCACTAGAGAGTAACTTTGTACTTGTCGTTTCCTTTTTTTTTAGCTCTTTCTTTTTCTTTGAGACTGGCCGCATTTTCTTGCCACAGTTAAATACAGGTCTCAAGTCACTTCTAATTTTAAATGTAAGCCTGAAATCCTTCTGCAGACGAGTCAGTAATTGGAGCAATTTTTAAAAGACTTTCAAGTGCCTTCAACAAGCAAAAATTATGGTGGTGGGAGATTTCTTTTCCTTGATTCACTCACAATAGGCTTCAGCTGTCTGCTGGGCTGGGGCGATGTACAGAGCCATTTGTAGCAATAATCTCATGAGTAATCATTTATTACAAAGGACTACTCAACTTTTTTTTTTGTAGAGCAGTGGCTTTTAGTGCAGTCCCCGAGGAGCAGGAGTGCTGCTTTCGCTGTTGCATTCTGGCCCCAAACTCTTCCAACCCACTGCAGTGCACTCAGAGTTCAGTGGCTTCCCCTCAGCAGGGTCAGAGCCCATGTTCTGTTCACTCTGCTTCTGGTACTGGAGAAATATGAATTTCTAGTTGCCCACGAGCCTTTCCGTATCATCCCTTCTCGCATCCGGAGCCTGGCATATTGTTTTGTTGTTATCTGCCATGTTTGTCTCTTCCAGCTCTCAGTTCTAAATAATAAATCTTATTTTGATGCCGCTGGTCACTATTTCCTTACCACTTCAGCTCTGGGCTGCCCGTGAGCCGGGTCTGGGTGTGCTGCTGGCACAGCTGAGCTCAGGAACCGTAAAGCAAGGTGCTGTTAAATGCCTGGGAAATCCAAAATTTGAAGCCCCAGTGGCAAAAACAGATGTCTGTGCTAACATTGTGTTTCTCTGTGTTGCCTCCTGTCCTGCCTGTGTCTAAGGAAATGGAAATAACCTCCTGGCTGAGAGCAGAGCTAGGCAGGTGCTGATGGCTGTTGGTTAAGTATTGCTTGCCCTCGGCTTTCCTGACGCAGGAGGGTTCCGTTCCCTTTGGAGCAGGGGACGCACAGGGGTCTGCTGCACACCGCTCCTTCCCTTCACATTCCTGGTCCCTCCAGTCTGCATGGAGTGCTCCCCATCCCATGGCTCTGTGTGGGGATGGCAGTGCCACAGCCTGGTGTACTGCTCTGGGGTGAGCACTGTGCCATCGAGTGCAGCATCACTGTGCTCTGCCACCACCTGGCATTTCGCTCCCGAACAGTCCTGAAGGCTCCTTGCTGCAAGGCAGGTGCTCACAACCTCCCACCTCCCAGGGCTTCCCCCTGCCTTTCTGATGCCTGGATCCACTGCTGCCTCTGCAAATCCTTGAGCTCCTTCATGGCCACAACTTCAAGAAGCTGAGAGCCCCCCATCTCCAGATAAGTATTTTAAAATGATCTGTGGGAATTCAGATTAAATACGGGGGTTAGTATGAGGACTGAGAGATGTAGCACATAGGATGTTTGTTGCCCCCTTCTGCAAAGGATATTCACCTTTATTTCATTTTCTTCTGCTCAATTCCTGGCTGCAGCCCGTGTGCTTACTGCTCGTGCAGTAAGGGGTGCTTGCGCTGCTCAGGGTGCGCTCAGGTGCTGCTCCATCCCTACTGCCTCCAGCCCCTGTTCCTCACAGAGCAGTAACAAGTGTGCCCCTGTCAGCTCAGTGCAAAGCTAGTGTTACAGTTTAAAGTTAAATCTGAATTACAGTGTGCTGAAGTGTTAAGCCTTAGCTGATGACTTTGAGGTGGCAAGGGAAGGGATCACTGCGAGGTGCAGTACTGTGTGTTAGCAGTGGAGCTCGGAAGAAGAGAGCCTCAGAGCCAGCGCCAGCAGCTCCATGATGTGAGCAAGGACTGAGACAGCACAGCTCACTCCTAGCAGGGCTGGGACCCCCCCATGGGCAGCCCCACGCATGCTGTGAGCAGGAGGCTGTGCCTTTGCTGCAGTGGGGCCCTGAGGCTTGGTCACTGCCACGCGTCCTGGGTACCTGCAGCCTTACTTTGGAGCTTGCAGTGCTCCTGATGCTTTATAGGGGCTAGGCCCAACTTTGTGGGCAGCTCCAGGGCTGCGTGCTGGCATTGTCATGTGCCAGCAAGCCGCTGCCTGATGCTGACCCTTGGGAAGTGTTCTTCCATGCCACCTGCCAGTCCTTCCAGCTCAGGGCCTGTGCTGCCTCCTGGGAAAACAACTGTAAGAACAGAGAAATGAATCCTTCCATTTGGCACAGGGTGCTATGAAAGCAATCCAGCACATCTGCTGTAGGCGCAGCCATGCCCAGTATAATGGGACTCCTTGGTGTTTGCCAGTTATTCTGAAACTCCTTTGAGTGTAAAACAAGGGTTTAAGAGTATATAAACTACTTATAGCGATCTTGCTATTAATAGTGTAGCTGTGAGGTTTGGGTTGTACAAGAGTTAAGGCAAAAACCACCTTCTGGTTAGCTAAGTTGTGGGCAAACTCCCAGAGGTTGTTCTTCCTGCTGCCTCTGTTCCCGTGAGCCGCTGAAGTCTCGGAATAATTTGCAGTGAAGAATTGCTGGGTTATTGTATGGGATCTGGATATGCTCAGTCTGTCCCTGGGAACGTCCTCAGAGATGTTAATCAATCTGAGGTTAATCACCACCAGGAGAGGTGGCTGGTGATGTCAGCTGTTCAGGCTTTGGGAAGGCTCCCAGTGAAGACAAGCAGAAATGGCAGCTGGGCTGCTGCACAGCTTCCTTGTAAACACAGGGAGTGTGGTGACTGCTGAGATGAGGTGAAATGATGGTTGTAAGCCGAAGTAGCCTGGCTTTAGGGTTGATTGGCTGAAGAGCCAAGGCTTCCCAAAACCTAATGGAGCAGGTATGCAGGAGAATCACACTTCTGTACCCTAGCTAAGGTATGCAGAACAATGGGATTTATGTCAAATTCCTCTGAGATCTTCTCATAAGGTACAGAGTAAGTACCGAAGTGCTGTTTGGCTGCGGTTCATGGGATGGAGCTGCATCGGCAGCAGCTCATCTTCTCTTGGGCTCCCTGAGTAAAGCACGGCAAGGTGTAAGATGGTGCAAGGCCTCCGAAGACTGGCAGCTGTGGGCCTGCGCCTCCTGTTGCTGCCTTGCCTGGCCCAGAGCAGGGAATGGTCAGGGCCTGTGTGACCCCATGTGCAGCTGACAGGGCCCGGACCCCCCCCCCCCACCTCTCCCAAGGCCAGTGTGACCTTGCAGTGGGGGCAGTGGTGTTGCCAGAGCTTGGGCAGTGCTCCAAGGCAGGAGAGCCCAGAGAAGCATGCAGTACTGGGAGGCAAGGGTGCTTAGCAACAGGAGCTGTGGAAGATGCTGCATTTCTCCCTGACACCCTTGCTGCTGTCAGAGCAGGGAGTGCAAACACTCAGTGTGTCAGCACGACTGTGCACCTAGGAAACACAGTTTAATTTGAACAAAAATATAGATATGTATTGTGGCAATAGAGGGAAGTAATTGCAAATGTTAAAAATGCAGCTTAACTTCCTGCAACAATGATTTTTGAAGCAGAAAAGTAATTTAACTGCTACTGTCTTAGGGAAAAAATGTTGAGCAGTTTTCAAATCCTCTCTGGAATTAAACAGTTTCAGCGAGATTTGAGAGCATGTGTAAATGGTTTATTTTCAGTCCTCAGTTTCTTGGCACTTTAGCACTTGGAGCAGGAGAATCTCTGGAAAGAAAGGGAGGAATAAACTTGGCGAGATGCTGATTTGATGCTGGGGACACATGGAGATATTTGCGGCTGTGAGATGTTTAACGAGGATTCCAAGGGCTGTTAGCATAGCCACGGAAATTGGGAGTCAGCTAAAAACATCAAACATAGCAAAATAATTCTCAAATATTTGCTGTTGCATGTGAGAGCTTGGGCTGCCGGGGCTATTGGCTGCGGGTGCAGGTCCTGGCAGCAGCTGATGTGGGGAGTGCTTGGGATGTAGGTGCATGAGGAGACTTCACAGACTTTAACGTGACACTTGGAGGAGTTATTGTCCAGCTGAACCTGGCTTTGCCGTTCTTTTTAATTGGAGGTCTGTGTTAGTTTAAGAAAAAAACAAACCTGTAAATAAGAGTGGTGAAAGCTCAGCAGCGCTGCACTCACCAATTGGTGGCAGAGTGAACCTTTGTTTTCGTGTACCTGGTGGTGCTGTCTGGTACTGGGGGAGTGAGGAGGGGAGGAGGGCATTCTTCTTCTGATGAGCCCACAGCGCTGGCAGGACAGATCTGTGGCTCTGCTCATGCTGGTGCAAGGTCAATGATTGCACTGCAATAAGAATCTAGGCATGTATTTCCAGGTATTTTTGCTGATGAATGTTCATTACTAATGATATGAAAGCAAGATGGCAATTAGCACTGTGATGTGAAAAATGTTTCTGTTTGCTCACCAGTGTTTGCAAGTGAAGGGACACAAGTCTGGTGGAGCCAACTGCTCA